GTAAATAAATATTTTTTGTTATTTTTAAAATCAAACATAAGTATAAGTAAACACTTATAAATTTGTATAGTACAAATACGAGTAAGGTACTTCCAAGTCAATTAAAGAATCATATTAGAAGTTTGTTTTATTTTAGATAAAATATTGTAATTTATAACATTTAACATTTATATATTGATGTTAAAATTATATATGGTATTTAATAATTTTGTATTTATTGTAGTTTATCACTATATTTAAATTTTTTAATTAACACTTTATAATAGATTGTAAAAGAGCGTAAATTATTATTTTTAATCAAATTATAAATAATACAAAATGATAAAAAAATTTAAATACTCAACAAGTATAACAAGAAGAATCAAAATTATTATTCAATATATATAAAAATAGGTATAAATAATTTTTTAAAATGTAAAAATAAATACTATAATGACTTATACATATCTCCTCTATCATCATCCTTAATCTCAAGACTAGTATTACTAAAATCACAAAAAATATTACTTAAATACAATAAATGTCAATTGTAATTTTAAAAAAATAAAATTAATATTTTTATCTTTTAATTTTAAGATAAACTTAAATTTTATTTTCTAATTTTTTTTAACTTTACCTCTCTAATTGTTATAAAAGTTTTAAATACATCATTTTTATTAAAAACTTTAATTTTGTTAAGAAAAATTGTTATTTTGTATATGTATGACACTGTTCATCATCTTTTTTTTTTTCATATTCTTTCAACCAATATCAAATATTTATTTTCAAATTTCAAATCATAAATAAATTAACTTTCTTAATACTCATTTTTCATTTTTAATAAATTTAAATAATTTTTTTTTTAATTTATACTTTAAGCTTTTAGAACATGGTAATATTTATATTAGTAAAAACTTTAGAGACTATAGTAGAATAAAAATTTAATAAAATAAAAAAAAAAAACATAAATGTTTTTGCGTTTAAATTTGCTAAAAATATAGTAAAGATATATATGTTATTAAATATTGATTAGAATTTAATAAATTTTATAAAAAGTGTGTACATTTTGTTTTTTATTTGTAATTTAGTAATTATCTTTATGTTTTTATTATCAATAAATTTTAACAAATATTTAATAGCATATTAAAAGAGGTATGTTAAATAATTTAACTTAGTATTTTTTTATCAATATTTAATATAGACATTTATTATATATATTAGTAAAGTGAAACTCTAACTCTAATTGAAAAACATCGTTAGTAGTGTTTATAATACTTTATATTTTTATTATAATTATAAATTATTATATTAATAATAATAATTAGTATAGAAATTATTTATTAATAATGTATAAATTTTTACACTAATAATATATTAAAATTAATATTTTTTATTTTATTAATGTATTTTATTTATATTTATTATATAAAATATAACTTAAAATGTTAATTTGTTTTTCTCTCTAAATTTATCTTTCGATATAGTTGAGACTTAAAAATAAGATAAGTTATACAATTCAATTCATGATCAGAACTAGATTGGTCGTTAACCTATTCAAGACACTAGTTTAAAATCAATTTAATAGTTAAACTAATAATAATTTAAAATATCTTATGTATAATCATAATATTGAAAAAAATATTTTTTTATAATTTTATGTCACAAAATGTAATATATAAATCAAATCAAATATAAAATAATATTTAAGTTAAAGTTAAAAAAATTACAGTATCTCAAATCTAAAATATAAATTAAATATGAAAATTATAAGTTTATTCTAAGCATCTGGGTTGCTCTGAATACCATTTATGATTAAGTGAAAGGAAAAAAGAAATGCATATTACATTTAGACAACTTCACCTAAAATAATAAATAAAAAGACATATAGAAGCTGTGTAAACAAACACACGAGTTTGAGAGTTTTTAGACATCACCTTCTTCATTGGAGAAGCTTCCACTTATCAAATAAAAAAGGTTGTCGAATAAGATTCCGGTCAGCAAATTGTTGCTTAAGCAGCGGATGTGAAACAGTGATGTCAGGACAGGGAAAAATGAGATTCTGTAACACTACAAAACAGTGAATCCTAAAATAGGAATGAAATATGATATTAGAAATAAATAAATCAAAGGGAAAACAAAGAGATCTGAGGATGAAACCTTGAATTTCTAGCTTTTTTCACTTATGTTAACTCTTTTCTTCCCTTTTGTTGGTCTGTTGCAAACTTGCAGTGTTTTCTCGAGCATGGAGCATGATTTGACGATGTTAAACACAGAATTGTGTGACATGTTGAATTGCCAGTTTTGATAATTTTTCCTATTCTTAACCGATTTTAATAATTTTTTCAGTCTTTTGAACAGTCAGTTACGTGGTTACTTTAGATCGATTCTTAGTCTCACCGACCAAACTGAATCTGATTCTAATAATCATGATAAAAACATTTATGGGTTAGTCAATTTGTTATTATAAAGTATAATAGTAAAATTTTATTATTTTTTTTTTCCCTCACAGACTAAAAAAATAATGATTATTTTTTCTTTTATTCCATTGTATTGTATGCCAGATTTTATTTTATTTTCATTCTCTCTTCCTATAAATCAGATGCTCTTTTCGAGAGAAGGATTAAATTTGTACTTAAAATTTTTAAATTCTTATAAAAAATTGTTGTTAACATCACATTTATAAATATTAAAATATGATGAAAAGATTATCTCATTTCAAACAGTGATAAATTTTCTTTTTTTATAGAAGAGTGAGTAACTATCTTTGTACGAAAAAAAAAAAGGAAAAAAAGAGAGGGCCTTTTCTATTATTTAGATAAAATATTAAAAAAATAAAAGATAATTATTTCAAATTTTATTAAAAAATTGTGTGACAATATTTATAAACATTGAACCAACAATGGAAATAATCTTAAAAATAGTATATATATATATATATATATATATATATATATATATCCATGTTTAATTTCTTCAGGAGCTTTATTATATTCACATGTACATTTTTGATATCTTATAAAATAAATATTAAATAAAAAGTGCATGCATTTATAATTTAAATATAGAACATATTTTAAAAAGTAGAGAAATTTATAATTAATTTTTTTTTTACACAATTTAACTTCCAAAGAAAAGCTTTTAAGTGACTTATACGAAACTAGTGTTTTTATCAACATTTAAGAAAAATGCTAATAAATATATTAGATAAATTTAAATTAATTACAATAGATGTATTATAAAAAATGAATTATTAATTTATTTATGTTCCGTAAAAAAATAGATTACAAAAACTAATATTATCATAACTTTTCTTTTTCATTTCATTAATCATTTGTTATGAATTGATATCAAACCCATTCATTTAAAGCTTGTTATGTTTTTATTTTGTTTATAAAATAAAATTTAATACTTGTACACATTATTGAACTAAATTTTTATAGAATTCATGCTACTTAAATCAGTGAGCTATAAAGTATGTTAAATGACTTATTATTTATTTAATAAATAATAATTCAATATAATTTATTCATTAAGTTTTATTTATATGTTAGTTAAATTTATTTATACATAAATTGAATGATTGATTGACAAAAAATTGAATCTTCATCCTAGTTAATTAACATTCCTGGACACACTTACTTTTATATAAAATATATTTGGAAATATGGGTTTCCCTCTCTAGTTAATGGATTATACTAAAAAAAAATTATTTGATAATAAAAAAGTGTTGTAAAAAGCATGCTCTTAATACTCTCTTAAAAATATATATGATCATAATTATATTTGTATATGTAACAATATTAATTTTATTATTCGTAATTATAGCACAGTCAAAAGATGTCCACGACTCATGAAAAATATCACATCAGTGAATGCTTCAATAAATTCTTCTTATTGCTTAAAAGAACAAGTTTAGACGAGTTTTTGTATATTTTATATAATGTATTTTTCATTTTTAGAAAAAACTCTTAACATTTATCTTACGAAAATTCAACAAAGCATGCTACTATTTCTATTTTAATTATCTAATATTTGCTACTTTGTGTATATTTTTATTTTTTCAGTAACGCTATTATTCAGTGATATTTCAACCAAATGTTTTATTTACTCAACCCAAACTATTTCAATAAAAATTATCGCAGTTAAAATTTTGTTAAAAATCATCCTTTATATTATGTTTTCCACTGTACTAAAATACGTTGATCCTCATTTATTAATTTTTCATCCAAAACAACATTAATTTTTATCATATTTTGACTTTCTTTTATTTAAAGATACAGAAGTAGAAAAAATAAATATTAAAAAAATAATTTCATATTTATAAAACGATTTAATAAAAGTTGCCATTTTTATATCTCTGATATCGTTCTTAAAAATTAATGTTAATAAAATTATTTAACTATTTCATTTTCTGTTATAATAATGTTTCAATTACTAATTTAGCTTAATTTCACTTTTACTTGTCATATTTTTATTTATGTGTGATCAGTGTTATTTTAAATTTAATAGCCAATAATTTTTTTAATTATTTAATCTTAAAATTTTATATAATAATTAAAAAATATATAATAAAACGTTTTTTTTTTATAAATTTACAAAAAAATATCATTAAACAGTCCAAAACTTGTGATATATATTTTTTTGCAGCCTATAGATGATTTTTGGTCCGAAAATTTGCTCACATTTTATTTTAATTGTTATAATTTTGTATTGATTCTTAATTTTATTGAAATATAAGTTTTTAGTTTTTGTTGTTTGATAAAATTCATCATTTGATAGAAGATTAGCAGGTATATTTTGTCATCATTTGAAAAACACGTCTTTTAGTAAATAAGAGATTAAATACAACAATTTATTTACAAAACTAGGCAAAACATGTTAAACTTTCCCCCCTTGAAATGTCGTTCAATGGACATAGAAAATAATATTTTAAAAATAGGAAATAAATATGAGGGTAGGTTAATTAATTTGATTACGCAGCTTATTAGCTATAAATAATTGAGTGAAAATTCATTTGAGAGAATTATCACTCTTTGTCTTGCTCTCCTTCTCATCAAACCACACCCCACCCCACCCCACCCCTCTTGTGTGGGTAGGTGCTCTGTGTTCTCTTCACTCTCTTCTTCTTCTTTCTCTTCCATTCACGGTTTTCCTTAACCCTTCCAACTTCTAGAATCTTCCGCCGATCCTTCTCCGCAATCGTCATCGGCAACAACTATCTTCATTCAACACTTCTCTAGGTCAGGTCTTAATCTCCCTCTCTCTCTCTATATCTTCTTCTTATTCTGCATCGCTTCTATCTCTCTCAACACAGATACGCTCGCCGATTCACGCACGTGTTTATGCACGTGAATCGGATTTGTATGAACTCAATTGATGGGGCACAAAAAGCGAAACCCTCCTCCGCGCTCCAAACATTCTCCGGCGGCTTCTCCGGCGGCGCAATCCGTCGTCGGTGGAGCCGCCAATGGTGTCGCCTCGCTGGACGCTGACTCCTGCAATGTTTCCGATCACAATTTTCATAACCCTAGCAAGATCGAATTGGTCTCTCCCCAATCCGAGGGTTCCGATTACTCAACAATCAAGCTCGAGTGCGAGCGTGCCCTCACTACGTTTCGACGTGGGAACCACACCAAGGCAATGAAGCTCATGAGGGAACTCTGCGCCAGAGAGGAGGGTTCGTTGCACGCCGCGTTCCTTCATCGAGTGCACGGATTCGTGTGTTTCAAAACCGCCACGATTATCACTGACCCGAGCTCGAAGCAGCGGCATTTGAAGAATGCTCTGGAATCAGCGCGGAGAGCCGTCGAGCTCACGCCAAATTCGGTTGAGTATGCGCATTTCCATGCCAGTGTGATGCTGGAGGCTGCAAGTGAAGGGAAGGATTATGAGGAGGTCGTGCACGAGTGTGAGAGGGGGCTCGCCATCGAGAATCCCAATGATCCTGCCAAGGAGACATTGCAGGATGAAAGTGAGCAGAAAGTGTCGACGCTGGAAGACCGAGTTGCGCACGTGCAGAATGAGTTGAGGCAGCTTATTCAGAAGTCGAATATAGCTTCGTTGTCCTCTTGGATGAAGAATCTGAGTAATGGGGAGGAGAGATTTCGGTTGATTCCGATTAGGAGGACGACGGAGGACCCTATGGAGGTGAGGTTGGTTCAAGCTAGAAGGCCTAACGAGATCAAGAAGGTGACTAAGACGCCCGAGGAAAGAAGAAAAGAAATTGAAGTTCGAGTCGCAGCTGCGAGGCTGCTGCAGCAGAAGTCTGAGTCACCCCAATCTCCCAATGAAGGAGATAGGGATGATAGACCGTTGGATTCCTCTTTGGGCTCTGGTCAGAGGATAGGTGATAGGCGGCGGCATGGGAATGTGAGAAAGAATGGCTTTACTGCTGAAAGGAGGAAGTGGGTTCATTCGTATTGGAATTCAGTGAGTATGGATATGAAGAAGGACTTTCTTCGGGTTAAAATTTGTGATCTCAAATCCCATAATGGTTCTTCAAAGGATACTTTGCCAAATGATATTTTATCAGAAGCTTTGTCTTATGCTGAGGCCAATAAAACCTGGAAATTTTGGCTTTGCTGCAATTGTGAAAAGAAATATTCCAACCCGGATGCTCACCGGCACCATGTTGTGCAGGAACACATGGGGAGTCTGTCGCTAAAAATGCAGAGACTTCTCCCCCAAAATGTTGACAGTGAATGGATTGAGATGATTCTTAATTGTTCTTGGAAGCCTCTGGATGTCTCAGCTGCAGTTAAAATGCTGGATAATAAAGTAAAGTTCAAAAGTTCACCATTTCCTGAGGAATTGTACTTGGGCCATCATGCTCAGGACTACAATGATTGTTTTAAAGATGCAAGCAGCTCTTACATCGAGAAGGAAAGTTTAGGGGACAGTCTTCGTAATTATAGTGCAGAATGCAGTAACCATTGTAAAGTTATAGAAAATGATGTCGGAGAAGGTGATCAAGACCAGCTGTCTATGGCAAATCCCACTGCAGATTGTTGGCCGGTATCTGATGATTCAGAGCGTGCAAAACTTCTGGAGAAAATTCATGCAGTATTTGAGATTCTTATTAGGCACAAGTGTCTTGCTGCCAGCCATCTTAACAAGGTCATACAGTTTACTATGGGTGAGATACAGGGTCTTGCTGCTGGTTCTCAACTTCTAAATCATGGCGTGGACCAAACACCAATGTGCATATGCTTTCTGGGAGCTCCACAGCTTAAGAAAATTCTCCAATTTCTGCAGGAAATATCTCATGCATGTGGGTTGGCTAGATATGCTGAGAAAGGTAGTAGTCCCACAAATGAATTACATAATATTGATCAAGGTCCTGAGATTAAAGACAAGATTGTTTTTGATGGAGATGCATCACGCCTCCTTCTGGATGAGTGTTTACTGCCAACACAAGTCACTTCTGGTACAGCTCCGGGGGATGTCTTGAATGATGTTACCACCCCAAGCTCTCCTGATGGAATTTCATTCTATAATGATGCTTTGCTATCCTGGATATTTTCAAGCTCTCCTATTGGGGATCAATTGACATCATGGTTACGGACTGGAGAAGATCAAATAAATAAAGGAAAGGAAATTGTCCAGATGCTTGAGAAAGAGTTTTATCACCTGCAGAGCCTGTGTGAGAAGAAGGGTGAACGTATAAGTTATGAGGAAGCACTACAAACTGTAGAGGATCTTTGTCTCGAAGAAGGTAAGAAGAGGGAAAATGTTGGTGAATTTGTCCAGCGAAGCTACGAATCTGTCTTAAGAAAGCAAAAAGAAGAGCTCATTGAAAGTGAGAATGATATGATGTATGTCAGCAACAGGTTTGAGTTGGAGGCTATATCAAATGTTTTGCAAGAAGCAGAGGCAATGAATGTTAATCAGTTTGGCTATGAGGAAACTTATGCTGGTGTGACTTCTCAGTTATGTGACCTGGAATCTGGTGAAGAAGATGAATGGAGAATGAAGGACTACTTGCATCAAATGGATGGGTGTATAGAAATTGCTATTCAGAAACTGAAGGAGCATTTATCTATAGAGGTCAGTATGTTGATTCTTTCACATGTCTACTAAGATAACTGCAAGATTGTCCTTTTTCCTTAATGTTCTAACCTACTTTGTTCACTGCAGCTTAGCAAAATTGATGCCCGAATAATTAGAAATGTTGCGGAGATGCAGCAATTGGAATTCAAGCTTGGGCCTATTTCTGCTAATGATTATCGAGCAATATTAGTGCCTCTAGTGAAGTCGTACCTCCGGGTTTGTATTCAAACTGTTGAAACATGTGTTGTTGCTTCGCCTTTCACTTCACTAAATGTTCCTTTGTTTTGATATTTTAGGCGCTTTTGGAAGATTTGGCTGAGAAAGATGCCAGAGAAAAGTCTGATGCTGCAAGTGAAGCATTTTTGGCTGAACTTGCTCTTGATTCCAAGAAGGTCGTTAAGGGGGGAAGTGAGAGCACAAGACATGTTGAGAAGACAAAAGATAAGAAGAAGAATAAAGATCACAGAAAAGCAAGAGATTTGAAGGTGTTCATCCTGCGTGTTGAATTAGTTTATTATATATTTGGCTATTGTCTCTATGACAACTGATTATAGTTTCTTTGTCCTGCAGGCCACAGCTGGTCAGGTGCAGCTCTCATTTCAATCTACAACTCCAGAGTCAGTATATTTTTCCCCCTTGACTTTTTTATTATTTTTTGTTGGATAATCTTCTTGAAACCTAAAAATGTTTTTGATGTGCTTCTGTTGCAGTTCCAATCTAGTTGCAACTGAAAGTGACTTCCAAGATCACGAGGTTGTTTCTAGGAATGGGGATGACTTGGAACAACTTGAAGCAGAATTTAGACGCAAAATTGAGCTAGAAGAGGAGGAAAAAAAGCTTGAAGAAACTTTGGAATTTCAAAGAAGGATAGAGAATGAAGCCAAACAGAAGCACCTTGCTGAGCAGCAAAAAAAATCATCGGGGACATACATGGAGGAAGTGGATGACAAACTTCAAGATTCTCAAAGGAAGGCAGTTGCTGGTCACCCAGATGTGCATGAACATGTAAGACTACCAGTGCAGGTATGAATCTCATTTTGGTGTTTCTCCTGCTGCTTGTAGGGGGACAAAATTTCTGGTTACTAGTCATTATGTTACTGTTGCATGGTTAATGGACCTGTAAGGCAAATGTACTGAATGGAAGGAAATAATACTTGGTAAATAAGAATTAGTTATTAAAGGAAATATACCTCTGAACTTGCACATTTTTTCAGGAGCAATTGGCAAAGGAGAATGGGTCCCCAAGCAATCTGGATGGCCTGTTTATACCCACAGCAAATGGTTCCATGCTTAATTATTTGCATCAGTCAAAAGTTAAACAAGGTTGGTGGTTTGAGTGTCTCAGGATGCAGTATTTATGATTTTTGCTTGAGGTTCTCAGTAGTTATTTATTATTTTCACGCAGATCTGCCTAATGGAGTTGTTCCAGAGGATGGTCTACCTTTGCCTGATCGGCGTGGTGGAAAAAAACATAAACGGCATAAGAATTCTTCCAGAACAGTTGATGGAAAGTTGGAATCTGTCTCAGTGGAAAAGGAAAATACTGAGGATACACATACTGATTATTACTCAAGAGAGCAATTCAAATTTAATAACAGTCAAGATACTGACAGGGGTTAGTTTGAATCTTCCCCAAAGACTCTTATAATCTCCGCTTCGTAATTAGCTTATGGTTGTTAGTTTATGGTACTATATGCTTAGTTTACAAGTGTACAAGGATTCACAACATTTGAATAGGCTCGGAGGAAAACTTTCCCTTGTTTAGATCATTCAATATTTTATTTTACCATCTGAACCTTAGTTGCTTATTATCATTCATTTGCCAGAGGTAGAAGATTTAAACCTCATGTTTTGCTTTTTGCTACTTATACAAATTATCTTAATCTTTTTACATAAAAGTGTAATATGTAAAGTCAATTATCAATCTTTTTACATAACCTGTTTTGTCATCTTTTGTTTGACATGGTCCATTCATTTGTCGCAATGGCATCATTCTCTTGACTATTTAGTTGTCTTAAAACAATGTTTCAATTTTAGTAACAGTTATATGACGTTGGGATCACTTTATACCTAGGTTTGTATTGTATTATAAATTATGATCTCTGGTGGCCTTGTTTGTTTATTTTTTCAATGAGGTATGATGGCTTTATCTGCTATGAATAAATGGTATTATGAATATGAGATCAGTTATACTTTCTCTGGCAGTGATTATTTAGTTTTTTTTTTTTTTTTTTTGGGTTACTATGGGCTTTCTTTCTTCTCTCAATAAGAAAGCTTTTGGTTAAAATATACTTCTGTACTGTTAAAATAGATTCAAAGTACGATTTGATAGTGTTTGGAAAACTCATTAGCATCGCTTTTGCTTCTTTCCTTTGAGAATTATGTTAATATGTACAAATTTTTTGTTCAAGCAGAAATATTATTTCAGTTGTGAACCTGGTTCAGGTCATTTATAATTTTTTTAAGAATACGAATAATAATAGGAAGCTTTGAAGGTATTTTCCAAAGTACAAAAAATTAATTTGCTGTTGCTTGGATGTGCCATCAGAGTGGGAAAACAATGGATCAAAGGCTATGAAAGAGTTAAAAGTGGAAGACGAGGAGGAGGAAAGATTCCAGGCCGATCTCAAAATGGCTGTACGCCAAAGCCTGGGTATAATTTTTCCCATTCCATGCGTAATACATGATTTACGATCTCTAATATTGTATAACTAACTAGGAGATTATGAAAACTAACATATCAGATATTTATCGAAAATATGCTGTCCTTAAATTGGAGATATTTTCTCTTCATGAGAGAAACTTTTCAACACATGCATAAGTTCTTCTCGGGCTACAAGTAAAACTTGACATAAACTTTTAACTAGATCCTTAGAGTAATGCTAATGTTCCTGTTTGCATTAAGTTAGCTATAATAAATCTTACACCTGCGTAAAAATTTAATTTTGTTCATCTTGAAGAATTAAGCAATCATTACGACTTTCTAACCAAGAAAGAAATTCTTATCAGACACATATCAGGCACGTGGAAATTTGCCTCCGGTTTCCAGTTTAAGAATGTCACACAGAGCTTCTTCACAGGTAGATAATGTGGATTTTCTACCAGTGGAAAACTCAACTGAGAATGTGAATGGAGCTACCTTGCTTGGTACTGGACTGAAGAATGAAGTGGGTGAATATAATTGTTTTCTCAATGTTATTATACAGGTATATCTTTTGAAAGTCACTTTTCCTTTTTATTATAATGGCCGCTGGTTCATTCTTATTTTTTTGATATATTATTTTCCATAGCCTGAAACAATTTCTTATCTCTGTATGAGCTCAGTCATTGTGGCATTTAAGACGCTTTCGGGTGGAATTTCTTGGCAGATCAAGATCAGAGCATGATCATGTGGGTAATCCTTGTGTTGTCTGTTCATTGTATGAAATCTTTACTGCACTGGATCTTGCATCAAAGGATTCAAGGAGAGAAGCAGTTGCTCCTACATCCCTGCGGATAGCTCTAAGCAACTTATATCCAGACAGTAACTTCTTCCAGGAGGTAAACTATTAACATAGACAAATAATGAAGATATTTCTCCTGTGGATGGTGTGACTAATTAACTGACATTTGGCAGGCTCAGATGAATGATGCTTCTGAGGTATTAGGAGTGATATTTGACTGCCTTCATCGATCATTTACCCGTGGCTCAACTGTTTCTGATGCAGAATCAGTTGAAAGCAACTGCATGGGATCTTGGGATTGTGCAAATGGTAGTTGTATAGCACATTCACTTTTTGGAATGGACATTTTTGAACAAATGAATTGCCATCACTGTGGTCTTGAATCCAGACATTTGAAGTATACTTCCTTCTTTCACAATATAAATGCCAATGCCCTCCGCACAATGAAGGTATCTTTGTAAAGCTTTTCTTTTTAACGTTTCACAATTCATTGAGTTTCTGTTTTTTTGCTGCTGGGAGCATGAAAAAATAATTATGCTTGTTACGTCCCTTAGCTGGATACCTTCTTCACCATCCAGGTAATGTTTCCTGAAAGCTCCTTTGATAAGCTTTTGAATCTTGTGGAGATGAACCATCAGTTGACTTGTGATCTAGAAGTTGGTGGTTGTGGGAAGCTCAACCACATCCATCACTTTCTTTCAACTCCGCCGCATGTTTTTATGACAGGTACCTCAGTTGTTGCTTTTGGAATGTTAACCTTTTTGTGTTTTTTGTCCTGTCTCTTACATGTTTATTATTTGCAGTTCTAGGTTGGCAAAATACATGTGAGAATGCTGATGATATAACTGCAACTCTGGGAGCCTTGAGCACCCAGATAGATATCAGTGTCCTTTATCGTGGTTTAGATCCTAAAAGCATCCATAACTTGGTGTCAGTGGTACGTATTTTACTGATAATATGTAAGGAATGTTATAATTGATCACTTTTTCTTTCCCACTTGTAGAGATGAATTCAGCTTTATTGCAGAAGGGACATATGCATATATACATTTCCCAAGTGAAAATTCTATTTTAAGTATTGCTTTTCTTTTTAGCAAAATTTAAGATTGAAATTTTGAATGATGAATTTTAATTGTTGAATTCTTTTGGGAGGGGAGTGGGGCTTGGGATGAAGCAGCTTTAGCCCTTAGCCATTCAAACTTCATATTTCTTTCCTGCTTGTATCTCCACTCAGCCTCCCTTCCCACCCTAATTAAGGTTTTTTATTTTTTTCATTGAAGTCCTGAAAGGACTGCCATTGACAGTGAAAAGGATCGTTTATATACTAAATGATCTAATCTTTCCATAAAATGAAGATGAAAATCTAATTGAAAACTGCAGTTAAATAATTTTTTTAACCACCACCACACTATGGTTGAGCAACATTTTTACTGTTTTGGATGGAAAAAGTTGTCATATTGCATACCATAATTGTCTGCACCTTACATGTGCCTAATTTGTTGTTTGAACCTTTAGGTTTGCTACTATGGCCAGCATTATCATTGCTTTGCTTATAGTCATGATCATGAACAATGGATTATGTATGATGACAAGACTGTCAAGGTGAGTTGAATCTTTGAACAGATGGATATTTTTTGTCATTCCTGCTGTGTTAAAAACTTCTTTAATGACCAGGTAATTGGTGGGTGGGCTGATGTTCTTGCAATGTGTGAAAGAGGGCATTTACAACCTCAGGTTCTTTTCTTTGAAGCTGTAAACTAGATTTCTGGTGGAACTGATAACTTCGTTTGCTGACTGAAGAATGTTGAGTTTGGCATCCAATTGGTTCTGGTGTGGCCCTGTTTATGCAGATGCATTGCGTTTCTGCATAACACAAAAGTGGTTTTAGGCAAATAAATTTGCAAGTTGCAGTGATGTCAACTAGTTTTGGCATGCATACTTCTCTTGGGATGTATGGCATTTTAAAATTTATGATACAATTCAGGGTTTTAATAGGAACAACAGGTTCTTACGGGGGAGAATGATGACATATGCATTTAATGTAACTGGATGACTTAGAAGAGCACATAGAGTGGTGTTTGATACCGAGCATCGCTCTGCGCAGTTGGTTCATATTGAATATCAGATTCATTCCTTGTATCCTACCAATAAGCAGGTTTTGGTATTGCTAGAAGAACCACCATTTGTTGAGGTTAGCCAGCAATGTATGAGAAGATCTTAGGCTGTTTTTTTTATGGAAATAATTGCCCATTGTTATTGGGAGCATAAGGCATTGTACGAGGGGAATTTTTTCTCCAGTTGTCGAAGAAATATCACTCGTCTCCTCTCCTCCCCCACCCCTCGCCCCTCGCCCCCCACCCACCCCCCCAAAAAAATCTGTATAGGTTATACAATTAGATTTGTCAAAATGTCAGCTTGTTGCCATTTCGGCTGAAAAAGGAACGTCGTTTACTGATCTGGTCTACTGGGCTAATTTTCTCACTTTCAAGATAGCTCTGATGGAACATGCTGCATGCCAGATATTGTGCAACAGTAAGTTGAGGAGCTTCCAACCTTTGGATCTGCAACACTGTATTCTTGTTTATTTACTTTTGTGTGCGCGTGTGTTGGGATGGGGAGAGCGAGTTGAGTATGAATGGAGGTAATGAACTAATGGTATCACAATTTATAGTCGCAGGTGTTAACTGTAGGTTTTAGTGACAAAAAGCTGAAAGGTTTTGGCACAATTTTGCCCTACACATTTTGGGAATGGCGTCAAATGAGATGGATTATTATACTTGAATTGTTTTATATACATTAGTGCAAAAAGTTGTGTAATTCAACATCTAGATTTTGTACTCGTCTTACCCGCGTTCTGTTTGATGATTCTATATTTTTTGTGTGGAGGCAACGCCTTTGAGGTAGGTTGGGTTTCATTTCGAATGTTATAGTTTTATTTTACTAATAAAATATTTGAAGTTTAACAACTTGCATACTGTTTGTCTTGGCTATGCTGTGTAATACTGTTTCTAAGAGATTGAACGTTCATCAAATTAATAAGCTTAAGGCTGGGTTTGAATGTTTGATTAGTATTGTACAGAATGGAATTAGGGATATACGGTGGTTGTATCATTATTTGGCTGCTGATTGGTGCGATGGAGGAAAGTCTTTATTCTTTTATTAGGAAATTCTTCCTAAGAGCATGAAAGGAAATTCTGTTTAATACAATTGCAATATGAAATAGATGCTTGGAATAATTATTTACGCTAATTATTGACATTTGTAAAGACATTTTTAAGAGATGGGTTATTTGTGTATCTTTGACCCATGTGGTCTCACTCATGCCGATTTTTTTTATAAGAAATGTAAGAACTTCTTATGAATGGAATGGCAATTTTAAGCTTTGTTTTCATTGTCATTATTGCTACTAGCGTTATTCTTCATGTCTTTAGGATAAAATTGTAAGATCATTTGGTGGTTAATTTTTTTTAAACGAGTTCTCTCTCTCTCTCTCATAATTTTTTACGATATTTTTATTAGCAACGTTAATTATTTTAATTATCGAACTTATATGATCTGATTCATATAATTTGATATAGAATTCATGTAAATGATGATGTGAAAATCATATTTATTCATTTCATATTTTTATATCTTAGTTTTAAAATATCTAATCTTACATTATAAAATTTTATTAGAAAATATGAATATAATATTAATAACATATCGTGCTTATTGACATTTCAGTTAAATTAAGTGATTTAATTTAAATGCTATATTAGTAAATAATAGAGTAAATTAATCAATCATTATAAGAATGAAAGTTTTTAAGGTATTATTTATAAAAACTTGAAAAGAAAGGATTAAATGAAAAAATTATGAAATTTTAAAAGATTAGAACTTTATTTAAACTAAATTTAATTTCATAGCTGAATTTTAAATTTATGCATTATAGGTTATGAACAACTTCATTCTCTCTCTCTTGTTCTCTATCGTTAAGCATTCACGATTTATCAATAATAATATTAAATAAAAAACATTAACATTAGTATATATTTTAATAAGTAAACGATTTATATTTTTAAAATAATAAAATATTTTTGTTTAATAAGTTCACTTTATATCCATGTAACTATTTAAAAAATTATGATATAATATAAATTTTTGAAATGACATTAAAATAATTAATTCATTATATTATTATAAATTAAAATAGGAATTGATTTCATACTTTTTGATGTTTGAAGAATTTAATATAAAAAATATTTAGAATAAAATAAATTTTTTGATTAAGTAAATTTCGCATGATTGAGTGAGTTCCTTATATTTAAATGAAGTTAAACTATAAAGTTTAATTTGTAAATATTTCAAAGAAAAAATAGATTATATTATTGAAAAAAATTTAAATTACTACCTAATCATACATATTATAATGTCTACAAATAAGCATTATCATGTTAATTAAAGATTATTAAAAATTTTAAATTAAGTTTAAAATTCTTTATATTATTTTGATATCTTCAAATATGTTGTTATTTATTAAAAGTTTGTAATTAGTATTTAAAATAAAAACCTTTAATAAAACTACCACTGAAATAACATAAAGTTAGAGTGAGTTATTCCTTTAAGTTTTACATTGAAAATTTGAAGAAAAATATTAAAAAAATATAAATGTAAAATCTTACAATTTTATTTGTACAAAAATTGTAAATAAAATAATTTGTAATTTTATTTGATCAAAATAATAAAAATGTTAGAAATTCTAATATGTAGGCAAGAAGTGTCAACTTATATTAAAATCATATGACATTTCTTTCTTTTTTTATTTTTTCTTTTTTATGGGAGTGTTTTCTAAGGATAACAAATGTAGTTCTTTCTCCTTAACCGTGGTACCCGAGCCTTGTTCATTCAGGTGATATTAGAGAAAAATATTTCTTTTATAAGAAATTTTATTAGTTAATGAATTCTATAGTAAGAAAGATTGGAGCAAAATTGAAATATTAGGAGAAAAATTGCTGAAAAAGTGAAAAAAAATATATAGAGAGAATAAATAGTAAATATCATATGCAACAAATAATAATTGACGTCAAAGTTAATAAAAAATATCAAGGAGAGAACATAAATTCTTTTAACTTATAAATTTAATTTTGACACACTATCAATTTTTAAAAATTATGCTATTGACTAATTAAAAATAATTATATATATAACTTTAAAGTAATTATTATAAAATAAATAATTTTTAATAATATTATAATTAAAAAAATAGTCAATATATTTTAATTATATTCTTAATTTATTTTATAAATTCTTTTGTATAACTCATTAAAATAAGCTCCAACTTATTTTAATAAATTACATGACTATGCTGTACATTTTCTCATAATAAAGAATTAAAAATTACCCAAATACATCCTTAACAGTAGTATGAGGATAACTTCACTGAGGCATGAACAACTACCATCCCAAATTTGAAATGGGAGCAATACTAAAATAACCAAGTAGCACCCAAAAAAATTAGAAAAAGAAAAACCATGCCACGACCACCATATGGTAACCCCAAAACTTAGGACTTTCCAACATTCTGAACACAGTATCCTTAACCGCATCACTCTTGAAAGAACAAACACCGTACATGTGGCCCCTATTGTTGTTTTACTAAGTCTTTGTATACCCAACAGATCCGCATATTAATAAAGCATGCGGTGAATATGATGAAAAATGCAACCCATTTGAGTGCATCAAATATCTCTCCTCTGACTGCTTCCATCTCACAGAGGTTGTTTTGTTCCTCATTTATCATTGTGGATTGAGTTGCTCCTTTTCTCAATGGGGTTCCAGCATCTGCTTAGCTAGGTGGTGGAAACAATGACCCTTAAGGGTGGCACAACCCAAGCCTGTGCGGCATGCAGATACCAAAGAAGAAAGTGCATTCCTGAATGTCCCCTTGCACCTTACTTCCCTGCAGACCAACCTAAGGTGTTTCATAATGTCCACAAGCTCTTTGGAGTGAGCAACATCATAAAGTTATTAAAGATCTTGGAGCCTAGTCAAAAGAAAATAGCTATGGACTCTATCATTATTCAAGCAAATTATAGGGATAAGTATCCTGTGCATGGCTGTTGGGAGGAAATTTGTAGGCTACAATACCAAATATGGCTTGTGGAAGAGGAGCTTCATGCAGTTTATCAACAGCTTGAAATATGCAGGCAACAACATCAGCATCAAGGTCCCTCCATGCCTGATGATGTGACTTCACAACTAGAATTAGGCATGGCACCAAGTACTAATAATAACGCACTTCCACTCTTTAATCATCATACTCCACAACCACACACTTACAATTCTGTGGCTTCTTTGTCCGTGTCACAACATTCCTACTCCAACAGCAATAGCGTGGATTATAACTCAACTGTACTTGGATTCCAAGGATAACAACAAAAATCCTTTTTGGGTTCAGTACCCTTATGCAAATAACAGTAGCAATTCTGTGGAATGCAAAATCAGTCGGTTGCCTCACAGCCACTAGCCATCCTACAAGGTGTTGAGGATTATGATGAGATGCACCCATTTTTTGATGCAGTTGATGATAGACAATCATACATTTATTCCAAGGAGGCTTATGAGTCAAGGTAGATTGGGAGTCATTGCAGAAATTACACAAAGGGAAAGTCTAGTGGGCAATTGAATCATTTGCTTATTATGATCAATGTCCAATAAAATGAAGATGCTCATATTTGATATTGTGTATCTCAGAAGAATCAGTGAAAAATACGAGAAAATGCACTGAGCATGTTTCTGAAAATGATATTGTGTATCTATGCTGCAGCATGCTTCAGCCTTACCAGTGTCAACTGATAAGCAAGTTGCTCCCCCCCCCCCCCAAACAAAAGGAAAAGATGTACTAGGTTTAGGTTTTATAGAGTTTCCAATCCTTTGCTTTTCAACATTTTAAATAGAATCGGATATTTTCCACTGTTCATCAAATTGCATTGGTTATGCGAAGGCAAAGAATAATTAGAGCGGATACTACATCAATCTCTATGCTAAATATTTTACTATTCTTAGTTGCTATCCCATTCTAATATTTTAAACCTGCACAGCAGCATAATATTACTGCATGAAAATTTGGAGCAACTTTATATCTTCCTTCTGATGTAAGCAGCCACTCTTGGATAAATGATACCAATAACAGACTATGCTGGCACCCATATCAAACAGGAAAAAGAGATCCTAGCCATATCAAGCATCATGATGTCTATGTGTGTGAAGTAGGATCAGTATCTTAACATGCAAAAGAATGAATATCAATACACAAAATATCTTACAGCACCGTGGACCATCCTTTCGTCACTTACATTACATTGCAACATGAAACAGAAACTTACAACTCTGTTTGACACAAGTGCAGAAAGTTTGTTCAAATTAAAATCTTGTTTCATCAATAATGTAACCTTTACATATCTTATTTCAAAATTCACCACAGCTTGAAGATCTTTTCTAGAGAAACCTCAATGTGCATCAAACTGTCCCACCATTTACGACCCTGTTTTTCTTCCACTCATTTCTTTTTCATAGACTACTCATCACATCTATTATTTCCGTTTTCCTTTCCTTCTTATCTCTCTTCTCCAAAGGGTGTACCCTATTGAGGTATGGATGCATAATTTTCAGTAAAAGGATTATCCATCTTTATTTCTTGTCCAAATATGCAAAGCTTGAGCTCTTTAGCTCTGAATCTCATTGGAATTGATTTACGAAAACATTTATAATTGAAATTAGCGAACATTTATAGCCAAATAAGGATCAATGACACTTCTCAGTTTTTTTTTATCTTAGGATAGGGCTTAACCGCTTCTTTAAGCTTCGTGCTTTCGTATCATACCTATAACAAAACAGAAAAAGGAATAAAAACAAAAAAAACCAAGTTGACTATTCATTTTAAAGTGCTTGTTTCATCAATACCATTTTTTCAATCAAATTCATTACTTAAGCAAAGACTTTTGTTAACCCCCATCTTTTAACAAAAAATAGAAAGCTTTTATTAGAAAAATAATATTTATTACATTGAAATATAAAAGTGTAATATTTTTTTCAATAATTTTTTAATTGTTTAAAATTAACTTCGTGAATTGATATTTAATAGAACCGTTAAAATAAAAGGACTGATAGCTTTTCTCATTTGTATCGGCTTTATGGAAATGTTTTCCATCAAAAACTAAGTTTAGAAAGGTCATTTAGATCATATAAAAAAATAGAAAAGATTGAAAATACATACTTTTTAATCAAATGCACAAGAACACCTACTAATCCCTCTGGTCGTGGTCAACCTACTGCTCCATCAAATTTGTCAAAATTTTAAATCTATTTCTGAACCTAAAGCTCATACATATTCTCTGTTTTCCAGTATATCAGATAACTACTCAGCCTTGGCATCATTAGAATATAGAAGAAATCAATTTGTAGTAGTGTTCAGAACTCTAATGAATAGAAGTCAAAATTAAGCCGTTATCCACACTCAGTGTTGCAAGCATTTAAAGAGTCAGCTGACCACAAACAAAGTAGACAGCAAATGTGTATTAGTAGCAAAATGTCATGAATAGCATTTCATGCCTTTCAGACTGAAGATTCAATGCTGATTTTAACACCGAGCACAGCAATGGAAGAATTTAAATCAATTAAATGTCATAGACAGCAAGATAATTTTTTTTTTTACGGTAGAATGATTATTTTGGCATAAGCAATAGAGATAATCATTAAATATAATAATACAATCTAATGCTTTTAAATACAAAAGAGCTAAGGAGAAGCAACTTTATGCTCTCAATGGAAGAATCATAGAACTCTAGTGTTGTAGGAACCACAATAAGGGCATTTGTGGTAGAGCCAGTGGAAGGTGGCCGCTCCTTTCTTTTCACAGTCATTACACAATATAACCTGCAGGTTATACAGGGTCAATCAGAGTATACATTATGGAAAACCATACATAAACGCATCATAAACAAGAAAGTAGCCGACAAACCTGAGTTTGACTCGAAAGCACATCAGAATTTTTCTCTTCAGCCAATAATGCATCCAACATCCTAAAATATACCTGAAAAACATTCTGATGGTTTTAGAGAGATGATTACTTCAGAGACAAATACCCTTATTTAATATTGAAAGCTACACATTAAGACTATAATATCAATTTGTATGTAAAAACTAGAACTCCTAAAGTCAGACTTCATCAGCTTTTTGTAAATAATCATCAGAGAACAAGGCGGCTTCCAGTAACTCTCCAGCACATGTAGCTATGCAAGTAATGTGAAATTCAATGGTAAAATGTAATTTTAGCAATATGATATTGATATGTAATAACATTAAATAATAACTGACCTGCATGTCTCCAAGTGACTTGCTACATATTGGGCAGGTATATTTAAAGCAGGTATATTCCTGGAAAGTGCATTACAAATGCTACTAAAATTGTTTCTGTATTTGGTGGATGTTGGTAGGGGGAAAAAAAATACAAGAAAGTACCTGAAAACATGTTGAGTGCATCACATGACCACATGGGAGGGCTTTTACTGGAGAGCAGGATGTAAAGATATATTCATGACAAATTGGACAATTATCTTCTAAAGATTTCTCCCTGCATGTATGTATCATAAGAGAACGAGACATACAAGCATTGCAATTCATACAGTGAAAGTAGTCTACACCCAAACCCTTTCCAACACGGCACAGGTTACAATAGGGACAGTGATAAATTTCCCTGTTGAACATCCAAAAGTAAGAGAGCACTTTAGTTTTTCTTTCAGTGATAAATGAAGAACTTCAGTAACAAAATTTGAAAATTCAGCATAGCTAGATAAGGTGACAATAGGAGGAAAAGAAAAGGGAAGGGCCTCAAAAGAATTATAGGGGAAAGAAGGGAAATAAAGGGTAAATTTTACCTTTGTTTGAATGATACCAATTTACAAGGAGAAAGGAATGGAGGGTTAATTAAATTAAAATGACTAACAATAAAACAATTTACAATTTAACCCTTCTTTTTTAAATAAAAACATGATAAACCTAATATGTTTTTCCCTCTAAAATTGCCCAGTTTGGAAGAACTTAGAAAAGTATGAAAGGAAGGACTTTGGCAGGTTTAGTGAAAATCTCATCTCCTACCCTTCTTAAGACTTCCAAACAAGGGAAAGGCTAAGCATATGCCTTCCTTCCTAAATCCCTCTAAATTAAAAGTTGAAACACCAACATACTTGGAAGCCTTAAACACCAGTAACACTATTGCATATAGAAATCATCTCTCAAGTGCAGGCACTGACATTTGCTAGCTAATAGCATATAATTTAATGATGCTCTGGCATGGGGTGTGTGTATAGAGAGACAGAGAGAGCGGTTAGTATGCCAATGAAAATCAAAAGCATTGTTACAGTTACACCAATGAACACAAGGGTTAGAATATTAGCATGTAATCAACTGCAGTTATGTTATTGATGTCAATTAGTTAGTTAGTTGCCTCTTGATTGACTCCAATAATCTCTTTAATCTATGGTATTGATGCCATAAATAATAGAATAGAGTGCTAGCCTGAACAAACTACTTCTCACAAAAACTATCAACAATTTTTTTCTAGGATGGGTATTTTACAAAATCCAGCATTGTAGTGAAAGTAAATAAGACATGAAAGCTACTCTTAAAAGTATATAAAGAGACCAATTAAGCTACATTACCTTTCATCATCAAATAATTTGCAGATCCTGCAGTAATATTTTGCCATGGATAAATTACAAGAAATTGTTGAGCATGTGCCACTGATTGGTTGAATCATCAAGCACTTCATACACATCATCTTTTTAATAGATTTTCTATATATAATTAGGCAATTGGTCAAAGATGAATTACGGAAAATAGAAGTCCCCAATTCAAAAAATGAAACAAATTGAACACAAAGTATTCTTACCTGTCAATTGAATGATCTGATTCTTCATTATGGCAATGTATGCAAGTATAAAGTTGGTTGCAACAAGGAGCAAAGAGCTTACAGTTTCTCTTGTAGTGTTTACAACCGTAGATTAGTTTGAGAGGATCCCTGTAAGATGGATGATTCCCAGGAAATTCCTGTCCATCACTTTTGATATTGACTTCTGTAGAAGATATCTTCTGTCTAATAATCCAACGGCTGAAATTATGCATAAAGCAATGTTAAACCCTACAAGTGTGAATCTATTGCATGAAATAGATTACTAAAGGCTGCAATTAAGTTCATTCACACACATTTCCATTAACTTTAGAAGGGTATTCACTGAAGCAAGGATATACCGTTTGCTTAAGATTTATTTATGCTAACTTTTGTCAAATATAAATATCAATAAAATCCACAGGCATGCTGATGCAACAATGCAAGGCATCATTTGAATGCCATGGAATCGCATAGTTTACTCCCTTCCAAATATTAATGGGAAGGAAAATAAAGCAACATTGCACAACCTTGCAATTAATGTATGTTGGAATTAACTTATTTACACAAGAAAAAACTTGCAGTCAAAAACTTTCTCCGCATTTTGATTATAACCTTCTTCAAAAAAGGCAAAATAATCTTACCAAAATGTGCACTAAAAATGTCCAAGATTCATTGCAAATGAATTGTTTATTAACACTAAAACTGACAAGTAAAACCAACTGAGGAATATTATTGAATTGTCACTTCAAAATAGGACATATACAAAACTGGTAAGAACCAACTCTCTCAACAGTATAAAATGTCAGGTAAAAGCATATGAATAGTTGGTTATAAATTCTCTAATGTCATGTCATTAAACAACTCTCCCATAAACTTAAAATGTTAGGTGAAGGCATGTGAATGGCATTTTTAACTTACATCTATAACAAAAACCATTAGAAAAATCACAAGACCAACCTCATCAATATATTCTGTACTATATATGACTTTTTTTGAGGATCTAAGCAAGAGTCACGAGACACCCTTCTTATTGCCATCTCCAAATCATCTTGACTCAATTTCAGAAGTCGGTCATAGTGCCTGGACTTGTCACAAGGATGAGAAGACTTACCTTCATTACTTACTAGATTTGTGATATTTCCTACTTCATTGCAAGTATGTTTGTTATTATCATCAGATTGATTTGTGCATTTTGAGCACTGATTATTATTTTGTTCCGCATTATTAACCTTTACTTTATTGTCAAAGTAATAGTTAGGCAGCTCAACATTATCACCAATATGATCCTTCTGCAGACTATTTATGTTTTTGTTGGCAGATGATTCTTCTTGTAGTTCGTTTAGAATTTCTTCAGATAAATATTTGGATATGATCTCCAGTGGCTCAACAGGATGTAGAGGGGCATCATGTGATCCCTCTGTTTCCTTAGTTAAACTATACCCATCCCACCATTCACCTAACCATTCATCAAACATTGTATTTTTAGTAGCCATGGACCATAAGAACATTAAAACATGTTGTTCTTCCTGTGTTAGAGATGCCATTAACCACGGTATCATATCTTGTAATATTTCTGCTCTTATTCTTCCAAGCATGCATCCTATGATCTTCCCTTGCTCCTGATTTGAGAAGAATTCTCTAATTATAGGCCAAATTTCCATTTCCTCACGGTTTATATGATCTGAAAGTAGTTTATGCATTGATTTGCACTTTTCTTGCAACTTCCTGCATAAATGGTGATACCTTAGCATTCTCTTCTCCCTCATAGTTGAATCAGTAGTAGAAACTGAAAGATGTAATTCAGACATCTTATCAAGGATGCGAGATATTTTATCAAAGTGCTCAACTTCATGTTTGTGATCAAAGGCATAGGCATGGCTAATGTTTTTAAGTTTACCCCTTGTCTCCAAGGCTGGAAAAACTATCTCATCCTCTGCATCACTATGGATTTGATGAAGAAAACATATGAGATGGAATCGTTTGTGGAAATCCATAAGCAACTTATCATTTTCTTCTAACTGAGCTGAGCCAAGAACTAGGTATTCCAAGTCTTTCTTCATAGCCTTGTGAAAGAAAAATATCAGGTCAATTGGTTTAGGATCATCAAGAAAGGAATTAGAAGAATGATTTGTTGCATGTAATGCAGGGTGCAGATGTAACTTCACAACTGTGGCAGGAAAAAATATATGCAGATTAATTCCTGTGGAGTATGGTGTCTCATACTTGTTTATATTGCTGGATCCAGAAGATGAGGAGTAGGACGAACAATTCTGGCCAGAGACTTTATGAGGCTGCTTCTCAGAATTTAAGAAGGAAAACCCATGAGCTTCCTTCATTTGTTCAGGTAAAAAGGAACCTCTTCTTTTGAACATGTGTTGCAAGTCTTGTCTGAATTTTTCAATAGAGGTTTTACCTGAATAACCAATGCGGAACCACTCATGTAACAGCGATGCAAAAGCTTTACAGACAGAATTGTTTTCTTTCTTTATGTAATAGAGAATGGACCTGGATTCTTTTTCAGACAAGTGAACTGAAAACCAAGTTATAACACATTTTAGTAAACCAAGAGGCATCATACGCAGGCTCAAGCTCAGAAGTCTCTCTTCCATTCCACTTCTATAGTTCTTTCTAAGGATGGGAAATACCTGATAAAAAATAAGGGTGTCAAAACAGGAAACATTTGAAATCTTTCTAAGGATGGGAAATACCTGTACATAGGAAATTAAATTTATTGCTAAATGTGGAAGCCATAAACTGAACTTTTTTTAGCATAAGTTCATCTACTTGCTGCATTTTTTATCTTGATAATACTTTTACAGGTTAGAACAGTTTCAAAACCACAATATGAGGGTATTCCACTGAAGTTTAAACTGAAAGGTTGATGACCATCATCATATATTGTTAATATGCTGATTTCTTGTTCCCTTCCTTCCTTGGTAAAAGAAACAATTAGGGAATTAACAGAATACCTTAACTTCTTGAAAAGCAAATTGTTTGTTGACTTCTGATACAAATGATTCAAGTTTTCTGCAAAGCTTCTCCACAAATGTGCTCAAAGTTGTTCCACTTTCTGAGTTATATAATAGCAACTGTTGTATATCTTCAATGTGACTTTGGCTAACAAATTGTTCAATAGACTTAGACAACCATTCATAAGCATGTTTATTCAGTACAGGATGAAAGAATTTCTTCTGAGCATTGCTGTAATCAGTAAGTTACATTAAGTAATTAGACAGTTAAGAAGAACAACAGCAAGCATTTTAGATAGAAGATAAGGATCAGCCTTCAGGAACTTGAGCAATTAAAATAAAACAAATTAGTCAGATGCCACATTCCAGAAAAGAAACTGTCAGAAGCACTACCTGTAGAAGATGAGGATATCGGCAAAGAATTTTAGTTGAACAAGTATTGAGTCTAAATTCTGAAAGCAGCTGGATTGCCTTAGTAGATAAAGTTCATTCAGAGTTTCTTTCAAATCTTTCTTGATAGCATTATGCCAAAGATGAAGGACATTAACCTGGTTGACCTCATCTATTTCTGGACCATTCACTTTCATCCTACTTGAAATTTCTTCGGAGTTCTTATTGCAATAATTCAGCCCAACTGATTTATCTATATGTAGGAATTCATCAGCACCATGAAATTCTTCACTTGGAAAACACGTGTCAGTGAAGATAGGTTTATTTCTTCTAAGCCAAGAAAGCAAAACCTTCACAATGATATCTGAATTAGTAAAAAACATGAAGTTTATTAAAATATATTAAGTACTGAACTTTGGCCCACCTCTTGCAGTTCTTTTTCCATTGGTGCAATTTCATTTAAACTCTGGGCAAATTCTGTTTGTTTGTTTGCAGAAAGGAAGGATACCATCCATGGAAAGATTTCCTCCAGCAACATTATAGGAACACTACATATGAATTGCCACACAAGTGAGGCCTGTTCTTTAGTAGATAATTTCTGCATCAACAGAGGAAAAACCTGCAGCAGTGTAAAAAATTGATAATGTGCGTGTGACTATCAGAATGTATATCTCATCCAAAGATATATATTAAAAACATAGGTCATGAATGCCCTTTCTAAGTGTTGCTTTGCTTGTTGTCTTGATTTACCCCCACCACACATTTCTTTGTCCTGAAGTCAATTTAATGGTTCAGATCCCTTTTAACATAAAACCGGCACTAACAAAGTAGATGTTCAAGTAATTAATTGTTGCAAAACTAAATTTTAATCATGCATCTAACAGAAGGTACATCAAGCCAGATAATAAGTCATAATTGGCACAACTATTTTCATTAGTCAGCTTAATGTCTGTTCGACATAAGTTTTTTCTTGCACATTCAGTAAAGAAAAAATAAGTTTCTATCCTTTCCAAAAGTCAGGGTAGAAAGCGCTTAGACTCAACCACTAAAAAATTTTGAGGTTTTTGCAATTCAGTGATTTGACAGATTAAAGTTCCATGGGTGGGGGGTTTATTGAACACTAACACTTGGCAAAGATAGAGGATTTGGCCACTTTATAAAAATTCAGGGTAAATACGTTGAAAGCATGTTTTTTGCATTTCTATTACAATTGCATATGATCTGTATTCCATAAGAGGAAAAGGAGACAATGAATAAAATATATGATATACAATGTTTATGTCGACAAATTATGAAAGCACGTATCAACTGCATTTGATGAAGCATGTATTTTTCAAAGTACGTTCAAATAAATGAGAAATAAACCAATGAAAGCAACAGAGTAACCACATGAATGCATTTATGTCTGTAAAACAAATGAGGAAAGAACATTAAATGTAACTGGAGTAAATTTTCATGAATCATTATAATTGAAAACAGCCACCTGCTCTTCTTCTTTCAGCATATGTTGGTAGATGGAGGTTTGCAAGATTCCAATGCAATACACAAGTTCTTGGAACAGCACGGAAATATTCTTATCAGGAACCATCAGCTCATCCAAGAAGTGAAAGATGGAATCGAAAAGGTCATTGGTGCTGCTATGCTCAAGGGAATATGTACATACGACATTTTTCACATGTGTATCCAGTGCAAGGAAGATAACCTGGAAAAAATGTTTTGAAGTGATATTCAAAAGTGCTAACGTTAAATAGATAATGTTAAATTTATGTAATTATAATAATAAGACAAGTTTATCTTTATAATTATGTTAATTAAGTAACTGAATGTTTTATAAATATTCTGTAATTATCAATATAGATATATGCTTTGTTGTGGAGTTGAAACACAAATTCATCCATATATTCTCACTTTCTCTCTTTCAATGTGGTTGTTGTTAGTCACATGTTTATCCTGAATATCTTATTTCCTTATTTAGTTGATTGAGTCTACTTGTCATTTAAAGGACAATAAATATTTCATTTCCTAAAACAAGTGATTTAGTTTAATTATCTTTAATTCCTTCTTTTATGGGATTTGATTGGTCAAAGCTTTGTGGCCAACACCCTTTAAATTGTAAGCTTTTTGCACCCTTAAAGTTGTTAAAAGATAAAATTCATTTTTCAACATGGTATCAAGAGCTCTTTTCCCAGGGGCCTGATTGGAAGTCATGTTCAAGTTTGGCACCATGAGTGCCTATCAAACGACTTCTGATAGTACCCAAACAGTCCAACTATTTGATGTGGTCCCAAAGTGTTCTCATGTTTGTTTGTGGTCATGGGAAGGAAGAGTACCTTACCCGAGAAGCTGCCCAACCAGCAGATATAGAACCAAAGTACAAAACATGAAAAGCAGAGAACAATATGGGGATGCTTTGGCTTGTAAGTTCCATGATACCAGAAATTGGGGAAACTTATATGCTGGCTAAGACAGCAAACGAAATCTAGAAAGCTGTGAAAGAATCATGCAACACTGCTGCTCTATTCCAAATAAAAGGTATCTTAAGAGATTTGAAATAGGGTGATAAGAATGTTATTCAATATTATAACACCTTGGTGAAGTATAGGCACAACTGGATCTCTATGACGATCACGAATGGACCAACAACACAGATGCAGTGACCTATAAAAAGATCGTGGAAAAAGAAAAGATTTATAACTTCCTTTTGGGTTAAAAGGGTCTTAACCCTGCTTATGATGCAGTCAGAGGCAGGATCATGGCCACTCGCCCATTACCCTCACTAAGAGAAGGGTTTGCTGAGGTTCAACGGGAAGAAAGTAGGCAACAACTAATTCGTAGCCCGCAAGGCTTAGAATGAGGTATGGAATATTCGGCCCTTGCTGTCAGGGGGACCTTTAGTCCTGAAAATAGGCCTCGAAGGAATGGCAAACCACAGTGTGACCATTGCAATAGAACAAGCCACATCAAAGAGGGTTGCTGGAAGTTGCATGGAAAACCTCCTAAGAGGAAATCTTGACAACCACCATGAGAAGCCTGCGGACTCATGATATCTGCAAAGGAGAAGATGCCGGCTGCCTCCATCAAACCTAGCACGTTAGCAAGGAGCAATTGGAGATCCTCTAAAATTTAATTAATGCTCATAGACAAGAGAAACAATCTTGCATTAGGGTAATGGCGCAAATAGGTAATCTCATAACAGCCTTGCATACTCAAATTGAAAACAATGATGCATGGATTATTGACTCAGGAGCATCTGACCATATGGCTGGTAATGCTTCTCTTCTAATTCATTTTACTCAAAATTCTGAAAAACAAGTGGTGAGAATAGTGGATGGTACTTTGGCTGAAGTCAGCGATATTGTTATTGTAAAATTGTCAAAAGACTTGGTATTGAGAGATGTATTACTTGTTCCCCAATCTTTTATTTGTTAGCAAACTGGCTGGAAATTTGAACTATGTAAGTGGTGAGAATAGTGGATGATACTTTGGCTGAAGTCACGGGTATTGGTATTGTAAAATTGTCAGAGGACTTGGTATTGAGAGATGTATTACTTTTTCCCCAATTGACATCCAATCTTTTATTTGTTAGCAAACTGACCAGAAATTTGAACTATGTTATTCACTTCTCTATGAAATGGATATCATTTTCAGAATTTGGAGTTGAAGAAGAGGACTGGTAGTGCTAAGACATATGCTGATCTCTACTACTTACAAGGAGCAAAACAGAAGAAGAAAGAAACAATGAACAAAGACGATGATGTAATGGTATGGCATTATAGGTTAGAGCACCCAAATTTCAGTTATATGAAACACTTGTACCGAGACTTGATTAATAAAAATTCTTCCATTACTCCATGTGAAATTTACCAATATTCCAAGCATGTGAAAACTTCTTATCCTACTCACACCTATCAGTCTTCAAAGCCTTTTTCCCTGATCCACGGTGATGTTTGGGGACCATCCAACAACAAAAACATTAATGGGTCAACATGGTTTATTACTTTCGTAGATGGTCATACTAGGTTGACATGGGTGTACCTCTTGAAATACAGATTAATTGTCACTAGTGTTCAAATCCTGTCATAGATTAATTCAAACTCAAATTTAAACCGTAAGAGCAGATAATGCTTGTGACATTACCTCATATTTGGATTTTGGAAAATCACGGAATCCGACACCAAAGCTGATGTGTTAATATCCCTCAACAAAATAATATCACCGAGAGGGAAAATAGACATATATTAGAAGTGGTCTGATCTCTCCTTGCTTCGAATACTCCTGAACACTTTTGGGGTGAAACTGTCCTTAATGTCACATATCTTATTAATAGAATCCCTTCTCTAATCTTAAGTTTCACCTCTCATCATCAAAAAATTTAGACACTCACCCAAATACACATTCTATGCACCCTCCCTCTTAAAATCTTTGGGTGTACTGCCTATATTCACAATGATTGAGGTGGTAAATTAGATCCTTATATGATAAGATGCATATTTCTTGGCTACTACTCCACTCAAAAAGGGTACAAATGTTGTTGTCCGACCACCAAACACAACCATGAATATAACTTTCTTTGAAACCAAACCTTTCTGCTATCAAACATCCATTCAGGGAGAGACACATATACACATAACAGCAACAGGAATGGATGTTTGAAAGGATACTTGATCTAGAGCCTAAAAGCTTTCGTATCATCTCTAATATCCATCAAAACATACTTGAAAGAACCTCAACTACTAACCAAAATAGACCCGAAATCACACATTTCCTTAAGCTAAACACGACCATAAATCATGAAGACTCCACACTTGTTTCTAAGCCTAATGTCCCACAACAAAAAGAGTGGAAAGTTTACAAAAAGACAGCCAACTCAAAAGGAAGAAGCACCACAATGTGCTTTAAAGGAAGTCCAAGCTTCAACACACAGCACATGTCCATAGTAAGATCAAACCATTTACCTTACTCCAACTTTTGAAGAAATGGATCTGCCCATTGCATTGCAAAAGGGGTTAAAAAGTTGTACTAAGCATGCAATAAGTAATTTTGTTTTTTATGAAAAATTATTCCTAAGGTTACAATCTTTTGTGAACAATGTCACTTGTGAAAAAATTCCTAACAACTTTTATGAGGCAGCTGAGAAGAAGGAATGGAGGAATGTCATTCAAGAAGAGTTAACTGTGCTTGAGAAAAGTAAAACATGGGACACCATTGATTTTCCACCTGGCAAAACCCTTATAGGATGTAAGTGGATCTTTATAGTGAAGTACATTTTTAATTGTAACATCAATCATTACAAGGCTAGATTAGTAGCCAAAGGATTCAAACAAACCCATAAAATTTATTTTCAAGAAACATTTGCACCCTTGGCCAAGTTCAACACTATACTTTCTGTTGTAGCAAACTCATATTGGCTACTCCTATAAGTTAAATGTTAAAAATGCATTCTTTAACAAAAACTTAGAGGAAGAAGTGTATTTGGAAATTCCATTAAGAGTGAAACACAGAAAGGACTCGAAAAAGGTATGCAAGCTTCGCAAACCTCTATATAGCCTCAAACAATCTCCAAGCACATGGTTTGAAAATTTGACCAAAGTAGTAAAATTTCAATGTTACAAACAATGTTAAATTGATCACACTTTATTTCTCAAGCTAGGGATGGAAGGTTAGTAATTCTAATTGTATATATAGATGATATTATAATTACTGAAAATTATTTTGATATAGACAAATTAAAGAAGATGCTAGCAAATGAGTTTGAAGTATATAACATTGACAACCTAAGGTACTTTTTTGGCATGGAAGTAACACAAAGTAAGGAAGACATATCTATTTTTCAAAGGAAGTACACATTGGATCTGCCTGAGAAAATTGGAATGTTGGTAAGTTAAGAGGAAACTCTTTCTACTTAAGAGAAGTACAAGAGGCTTGTTGGAAACCTAAATTATTTCATTTTTACTTGTCCAAATGTTTCTTTTGAAATCAATGTGGTAAATCACTCTTTTAACTCCCCTTTAAAAGACATTGAGATATAATAATTTGCATTTTAAAATACATCAAAGAAGTTTCAGGGGAATATATTTAGATAAAGATAAGGATTACTTGAATTCTGGATTACTCTTATATACATATTGGACACTTCAACTAAAAAGAGATACACTTATGACTGTTACATTCTTATTAGTAATAATTTTATTTCCTAGAAGAATTAAAAACAAAGTGTAGTTGCTTATCCAAGTTCAAAAATAGAATATCCAAGTCATAGTCTTAGATACATGTGAACTTATTTGGTTAAAGTAACTATTTAAAGAACTAATATTTAAAAAAGTTATAAAAATGACACTCATTTGCGATAATCAAGTAGTCTTACATATTGCACAAATCCAATGTTCTATAAATAAAAAAAACATATTAAGATAAATTATCACTTCACTAAAAAAAAAAAATCTTATTTGGAGACATCACTACTAACTTTGTCAATTCAAATTATCAACATGTCTTCACCAAATCATTGAAAGATGTTCATATTAATTATATATGTGTAAGTATAGTGCATGTGGCTTATATGTTTTAGTACAAGAATGTATTAAATATGTGTAATTATAGTAATAAAACAAATCTATCTTTATAATTAAGTAATTGAATATTTTGTAAATATTCTACAATTATTATTACCATTAATATAAAATGTATGCTCCCTTATATAGTTAAAACACACGAATTTATCCATATGTTCTCACCTTTCTCTCTTTCAACCGATTACAATCACAAAATACATGCACCCCATTGCAGACACACGCTTCACAGCTCCAAACATGCATTAACAAACATGATGAACACAAATATTGGAAAGACATAGAGGTGAGAGAGAAGACATTGTACTCCTCATCCGATGCACCAATGATATTTAATTTCTCATTTAGTTCTTTTTATTTTTTCTGCTAGTGTTGATTGGCAGGTGAATTGTACTATAATCTAGCCAAGTATTACAATCAAAATTAGTTGATAGGTAGTAAAAAATGTATAAAAGCCAAGGAAGTTTCTTTATCATATTTGATTTAAGAGACTGAGATCTCTTTTTTTAGTTTCCTTTGAGGAAACATAAATCACGGAAAACTACGTAAGTGAAACACACATAGCAATGTTTAACAATATCATCGAATGATATCTAAAGGGCAGCCAATGTGAACTGTCCCGTCAAACTTAAAACCTTGTTGCATAACAAAAACCCAATATAATAACTGTGGACCGTTTCAGCTTGAATATGAATGAAATTAAACATAAAGTAGAAAATCACTTTCAGTTCGAAAAAAGAAGGTGAAATCTACAGCGTAACGTGAAGCAACTTAAAGTTGATACAAAAGAAATTTTTAGAAATTAAAGTAAATTTTATTTTTTAAAAAAATAGGAAGGGGCTTAAAGTTTAAACATATAAGAACCAATCAGGTTAAGATACTAATAAGATTAAGTTACTGTTAACACAAACCAGACAAAGCAAAATTAGTAACGAAGTTTGAAATCAATTCATGCGACCTTGAAATTCAAATTCCTCAAACCAACATAGGATAACGACGCATACAAATTACAACTATCTACACTCTTTTAATGGAGATTTGTCTAAAACTGGAAAAAAAAAAATCACACGTAGCTCAAACAACAGCAAGAGTAACGTTTACTTTTTTTTTTCTCCTCCTCTTTAAATTTTCTCTCTATTTTCCTCCGATTTTCTTCGGAATATATACTACAAGTACAATAGAGACTGAAACTGACCTCGTCTTCCGCAGCGCAATGATACTTATGAGCTAGTTTCAGGAACTGGAATCTTCGGTGAAGCTGAAGGACTAATTGTCGGCAAGGGCGTGGTTCGTCTTCCAACGACGCCGTTTCCGCCAAGCGACGAAGGAGGTGAAGTTCAGAGCGCAGAGCCTTATGGAAACAAACGAACAAGAGTATGGGAGCATCGACGAGTGAGACTCGCGACAGAATGTCCGTCGCCGCGTCTTCCTCATCGTTCTCCTCCTCTTTATCTGACAGGGAAGGATCGCCGCCGTCCATCCACGGCGAAATTGACGGCAGCAACCACCATCAACGGCGAGGGAGACGAAAGGGAGGCTCTTGTTGGAGAGTGGCATGGAATTTATCTCTGGCTCATGTAATTTTTTTATGCAGAAAAAATAAATAAATTAAAATTAAAAAGGAGTATGATATTGACAATTGGAAAGAGACCTTGTAACTAACGGCCAAGAGCGTTTGCGTCTTGGCGATTCGGATATATGATATGATATAAAGATGAGGGTGGCATGAAGAGTGCCTGTTCCACGGTTTAATAATTGAAGCGCGAATACGACGTGCGTCTTAATTAATGCCTCTGCCGCGCTCGGATTTGCTTTGAACAATGATGAGGTAAATTTCGGTTGCTTTTTTATATCGTGCTTTTGCTTTCGCGCTTTCTGTGACCGAGGTGAGGTTTGGAGTGGGTCACAGGGTCAGGGTCAGGGTCAGGGTCAGGGTCAGGGTCATGCTTTTTAAGGGGTGAACTGCAGAAAGGAGTACTCGTTCCATGCCGCCGTTACATTGTCTTCGACTGAGATTTCGTTTTTTAAATTCCTCACCAAGCGCTTCTATTTTTCAAATTCAAAATTAAAATAGTTCTCAAAATGCATACACTGTCCATGCTTTTAATTTTATATTGGTACAAACAATATTTGTGATCTTTTAATCTTAATTTTTTTATATTTTTAAGTAATTACCAAAACTATGTTAAAAATAATATATGGTTAATATTTTCCCAGTTAACTTAACATTTACTGTAGAGTACAGTTTTTCGGGAGAATTTAAAATTGAATCGTAGAAAAATATATGAAAAAAAAAATATTTATAACGTTACATTAATTTCGTGCCAACATGATGCAGTAAGCAAGTATCATCTGCAGCTATTTAGATTCCACAGTTCTGTATTACCTTTGAGAATGTTTAGTTGTCATTAAAATAGCTGCCCAATATATATTTTTTTCAGATTAAACATTTACCAGTTGACTTTTAGTTATTTTTAATGTGATAAAATCGTATTAAACATTTACCAGTCGCCCCCATTCTCCTGTGATGAAATTTTTTTTTTTCCAATTAGGCAAATCCTGACTGTTTGAGTTTTTCTGATGGGATTTATTAAATTTCGCATAGCACTATGTTCAACTGAGGTATAAAATTGCCACAATAAAAGTCATTCCACAAATCAAACACTAATAATTTTTAACTATTTTCAGAAAATATAAATTAATTACATCAGTGTCAGAGGTGGAATCACAATGTAAATCTGAATTAAATCGTGTGACTATCATTGTCAAAATAAAATGGAAATCGATTAATCGATTTCAACAATGACATTGTGAAATTAAATTTTTAAAATTGGTAGAAAAAATGTAACATAAAATAAACTATGTAAAAATGGCCCTTCTGTAATGGAACTTCAGACTTTAAATTTGTCGATAATAATATTAGCGCATAAAGTTAATCTTAAGTTATTAAAATTGAATATTCTTAGTTTGTTTTTAATTACTTGAAATCAATCTAATGCTAAGAAAACAATATTTTTCTTTTTTTTTTTGTCCAAATCTTCTCTTTTTTTTTTGTTCTGGAGCAGATTTTTCGTTTGAGATTGTGCAGGCGGAACTCATGCCTAAATAGAAGCCCAACAATAGGCTAAAAAGTTTTTTGGGCCGGGCTCTGAGGTGTTGTTCTTCGATTGGAACAAAAGCATCAGAGTAATCGTAATTGGCATTCCAAGGGTTACTGGTGCGTGTATCCCCTGGTAATACCCATTTGAAATCGTGGCAGAAGAATAAGAACAAAGAAGCAAGGAAAAGGGGGAAGGGTTTCGTTTTCGGAAGAAGAATAAGGAGCTTCTGATAGAGAGAGAGAGTTTCAGTCTTCAAACATGAAGACGACGAAGGGTGGCAAGGTGATGAACCCTACCGATGCTTACCGAAAGGAGCTTCGCAAGAAAGAATTGAAAAGGGTATTCTTCACTTTCTCATACTACCCTTCCTTTTCCTTTTTTATGTAATCTTGTTCCTCTTTCTATCTCTTCCATGCCCTAATTCAATTCCCGTTTCACTACCAATCGATTGAAAGTGCCAGTAGCTATTATGCAAATTTAAAATTATGACAGAAAGAAATGTAAATAGGTTTTTAAACCAGAGAGGTTATTTTGATGAAATGAACCTAGCTTTATTTGCCGCGATTTCTGTTTTCCGTAAAGGATACAATAATTTTTGTTGTGTATTTGTGTGTGTGTGTGTGTTCATTGCTTATGTTTTCCAAGAATTCAGCGCAGGGTCTAATTATGTATACTTGCACCTTTTTTTTTTTGCGTTAACAGAACAAGAAGGAAAGAAAAAAGGTGAGAGAAGTGGGGATTTTGAAGAAAGATCCCGAACAACTGAAGAAGCAGATTGAGAACTTGGAGATGATGAGTAAGTCATGTTTTATTCTGAATTGGAAGTCTGTGGAAATTTAGTTTCATTCGCTAATAATTATTATTATGGCAAAATGGTCTTTGAGGGTTGATAAAGGACTATTGGGTAATACGGTTGGTAGTTGTTGTGGTTTGAACCAATCTCTTGATTTGTGAAATTTCGAGAACCGTTTTGTAGGGAATAGTAGCAACTCTTAATGTTTCTGTAAGAATCACAAAAATATTGTGATGATGAAAAGAAACCAGTTTGTAGATTTGAAGAAATAATAACGAAGACATCAAATTTAAAATTGGTGAACTTTCCAAAATTCTAACTATGAATACGGAGAATCACCAAATGGCATTAAAGTGTGTTGGGAAGCTCATTTGAATTCCATCCAAATTTGTCTTTGTCCTGAAAGGATATTTTTACTCCATGGAGCATGGACTAAAACCTATGAGTCCATGTGCATTGGATGAATTATGTCACATGTAGTTATGTGTGTGTATATATATATATATATGTTGTGGTATGAAACATAAACATTTATGTATTTGTTTCTACCAGATAGTTGCAATGGGAAATATTGTTACCTACATATGCACGTGTTCGTGGTGCACTACTTTTTTCATATGGTTTTTGGGGTTATGCCCATTGGGGAGGGGGAGGGGGGAGGGGGGGGGGAGAGGAGAGTCTAAGTTATCTTGTTAATTCTTTATTTTTTTCTCTTTATATATTTATATATTGATTGACTATAGCTGTTGTCTGGTGTTATGATTTGTAAAAAGAAAACTGAGAAAATTTCTGTAATGAAAGTAATTTTTTCATTCATTCTCAAGTGTAAAGTACAACAATCTTTCTTATATATATAGAGAGAGAGACCTATCTATTGAACTGTTACATCAGGAAGAGGGTTTACTGACAATGACAGTAAACTAATTCTGTTATAACAATAATGGAATGCAGACAGCTAAGCTATCGGCACAACTACTTTACTAACACAGCAAGCTAACTGTATACTCTAACATATGGGCATATAGTTGTATTATAAATGAAGTGTGATGTCTTTTTGGATGCTATTGCCTATTTGAATTCACTGTGCATTGTTGGTTGTGGCAGAGGCTGATGGTGCTTTGGATAAAGCAAGAAAGCACAAGAAAAGACAGCTACAAGATACACTGAATCTTGTCCTGAAGAAGAGGAAGGTAATGATTTATTATGTTTTCTTTTTGTTGGACCACTTTGCTTTATTATCTTATATAGCTTTGCAGATTGTCCTGTACTTTTGTGTTGTGCCTGGTTATGTGCTTTCTTGAATGAAAATAAAGAAGAGAAAACTGTGTGGAATGATCTCTGGATTTCTGAATCCAATATCCAAACTGATTTCTCTTAATGATTCCGTGACATATTTCAACACTTCAACTACCTTGGAGAAAATTTTCTACCAAATTTCTTTCCCATACTTGAAGAAGTAAAAGAAAACTTAGTAGGTTTTAAGATAGTGAGAGTCTGTTAATGACACAAAATGTGGCAGAAATGGGCTACTTATGATGAATCAAAGTAATCATTAGTTCATTACATGATCCAGAGCTGCGCTCAGCAATGTGTCTGTTATGGTTGAAAAATATTCTTGGTTCTTTATCATCTTTTTTTCTTTGATGTGATTAAAAACCTTGTCATCACATTTAGAGTAATTGTGATTTTCTGACCTCTTAAAACCAGTCTTAAGACAAGCACATTGGCTGATATACCATTTTTGTCCATGGGCATGTGGCATTATAGTAGGTAGCCTATGTTCCTCTTGGGTTTATCAGCCCATAACTGGTAGTTTGTGGTGGAGTGTGATAGAAACAGATACTGTCAATGAACGAAAATAAGTAATCATAACATCATCATCCAGAGCAGCATTGACCAATGTGCCTGTTATAATTAAAAAAATTCCATGGTTCTTTGTTTTTTTAGTCTTTTTTCTCTGACATGATTAAAAACCATGTGTTATCACGAATAGAGTGATTGCTAATGTTGTGCCTCTGAAAACCAGTTGTAACAAGCACATTGGTTGATGTACCATTCTTGTCCATAGGCAAGTCTCATTAAAAGTAGCTGAAGGGCCCCCTCTTGGGTTTTATCACAATCTGTAAGTGGTAGCTTTAGTTGATATTTTCTTAGACCAATATAAATGGTTGTGCGTTCATATTTACAGTGTGTAATGGGTTCCTTTTTAAACAAACCTGTAACGAGTCATTTTTTAACTCTGACTTCTGAGATACCTGTGTTTTTTACTGTAATTTAAGTCTTAAGTGGTACAAGTCAAAATCAGAATTTAGTGCAAACTCGTTCATGAACTGAATTTGATATTGCATTAGTAGCAGAAGCTGTCTGGATATATGCATATATAGTAGCTGAAAGTCTTCAGAATTTGAACACTTCATTCAACTGTGTCCTTTATTTGGTTAAATGTTTATACCAATTGTTATTATTGATGATTGAAATCTAATCTATCTTTGATAGGAATATGAAGAGAAAATGCGGGAGAAGGGTGAAACCCCTGTTATGTTCAGGTGAAGTATTTTCATAATATTTTAAAATATGAATTTATACCCAATTTGTTTGTTTAGTTTACACGTTCTAGAATGTCTTTTTGGCAGTCATCTGGGGCCTCCTCGAAGGAGAACAACTGCAGAAGAAGAAGAGAGGGTTAAGCACCCAAAGCCTGAGGTAGGATTTAAGTTCTTTGTGTGTGTGCATTTGTTTATGATTTCCTTCTTTTTCTCTTTCTTCCGAACTAGACTGATGCAGCTGTTGTTAATCGTTGAGTTCCTCATTGATTTTTACTACAGGACTCTGTTTATTACCATCCTACATTAAATCCTACTGGGGCTCCACCGCCAGGGAAACCTCCTATGTTTAAATCGTCAATAGGTATGCTGAGCTTCTTCATATTTGTGTTGTAAAATTATGGAACTAGTTTGTTTGACATCTTCCTTATTTAGTAAACTTTTGTGCTAAACTGCAGGACCCAGAATTCCTTTGTCCGGGGCTTCATCAAGTGCTGCTGCATCATCCTTAGCAACAGAGTCAGAGGATGATGTATTAGCTGTACCTCCACCTCCGCCTCCTCCGCCACCACCACTGCCTGATGGTAGCAGTGCAAGTACAGCAGATGGTGCTGTTTTACCTGCATCCTTGCCACTGCCTCCTCCCCCACCTATGCCTCCAAAGCCTGCTACTGCTGTGCCAACATCATTACCGCCACCTCCACCTCCTGGTCCCCCACCTAAAGAACAAGTTGCAAATCGTCCTATACCTCCTCCACCTCCACCCCTACAACAGTCCCAACCACCTCCACCTGGCACCAGTGGAGGTGAAGACAGAAATCAGTCTGCATTGACAGATGATTCACCTTCCAAGGAGCCTGGTCAGGTAGGCTTTTGTCTAGCTTAATGGCTCCTGTTTTTTCTGTAATGGCATGAGCTGGTGGTAAAATTATTGTAGGACATGAAATTATAGATCTATTGAGAACATTAACTGGTGCTGCTCTGGGTTCTTTATCCGAACTGATTAAGTATGCAGATACTGCTATTTTTCAAAATCTAGAATATGCACATGGTAGGGAATATTGAATAAATATGGAAATTCTATGCTTACAATAGATAATATTTTTAAAAGTACTGAAGTTAGACAAATTTTAAAGGTTTTATTGATTTGCATACAATTTTCAGTCTATCTCATCCTCTTTTGGCTGTCTTCTGAACCTGTTTTTAGTTATTTAAATTACTTCAGAGCATCTATCAAACACATTAGGTATATTCTGAAACGGTTAAGACTCAAGTTGAAAGAGGACAGATACAGGTTTGTAGTGTTCTCTTGTATGTGTATGTGTTTGGTCTTGCACTCAGGCATGCATCTGGTTTTTGCATATTCATACTACATTGATGGGATGTTAGTAGACATTTATCATGGTTGCCAAACGGGAGCACATTACATTTTCTTATTCCTAGTTTAAAACTCAGGACTTGGTATGATTCTCCTAAGCAAAAGCTTGTTAGACAGTAACATAATTTCTACATGCAGGTGCAGCTTCCTCCACCTCCTCCACCTAGTAGGGTACCACCAAATTCTGGTGTGATTCAGTCTGATGGTGCTGTGGTTTCTACTGAGAGTAAGAATTCCCTGTCAAGCCAGGAGATCCCAAAATTGGTTCCCGGACCTCCTCCTCCAAGGCAACAACCTTCTGTTCCAGGACCCAACTTAATCCCAAGTTTACAACCTGATGTATTACCCCCTGGAATATCCCGATTCCTTCCACCCCCACCGCCACCTGACATGAGGCCTCCTTTACCTGTGGCTGGACTCCCAGCACAGGCACCACCTCCTGGAATGATGGTTCCCCTACTTCCGAGGCCACCATATGGTCCTCCACCGGGGCCTCCTCCAATGATGAGACCTCCACTTCCACCTGGTCCTCCTCCTAACTTTCAGGAAGAGGATCATGGGGCAGCTAGGCCACCACCTCTTCCTCAGAAACCATCATATGTTAAATCTGCAGCTTCTACTGTTGTTAAAAGGCCATTAGCTCAGCACACTCCAGAACTTACAGCTATGGTTAGTTCATCGTTTTTAATTTGCTTTGCTGTTATTTCAGCTCTTGAATTTTGTTCTTTTTTATTTTCCTGAGCTCCATTATTTACTTATTTTCCAGTAAAAGTTCTTTCAGTAGCCTTTAATAAGCTTTTCTGAGCACAAAATAAGCTAATGCCATCGTACTGTAAATTAGTTTTATGGTGATTGTTTTTACTCTCGTAGTGGTTCGAATCTCATGTATACCGAACTACTAATAACAACAACTAATGACTTCTTGTGTGCATTATTTACTCATGGAGGAAATTTTTTCTTAATAAGAGGCAATGCCATCTTTGAGTTTGAATTATGTCTACGGAAAGATAGCCGTCAAATAAGTTAACAGAGATCCTAAGTTGTTTATGACTGAGAACTTAAACTGCGCATCTTTGTATAAATTTTTGTCTAATTGAGTCTATATCTTGTTTTTGACTAGGTTCCAGCATCGGTTCGAGTGAGAAGAGAAACTGCAGTGGCAAAAGGCAAACCAAAACCGTCGCTGTCAACCTCTAGGACGGTCTCCGGGACAGCAGGACCAACTATTGTAAAACCAGAGTCGGTGAGCTCATCATCGGCTCCAAAAGCGCAGAGCATTGATGACTCATATACGGCTTTCTTAGAGGACATGAAAGCCCTTGGTGCACTGGATGGTTGAGATCAATGGGAGTGGCGTAGCAGGCATAATGCATGGGTGTCCACAATCAAGTTTGCTTATTTTATGTTCAAACAACCACCCTCGTGACCGACCTCAATTTTTTATTCTTGATGATAAAGTCTAATTAAGACCTTGTATACTCTTTTGTGACTCCTAATTCATCTCCTTTATCGCTGAAGTTTAAATTATTGCACTGTTAGTTAATAATATTATACGCTAACCAGTGATGTCTTGATACTTTATTACAACTTTTTTTTGTTGAAAAATTTACATTTTACATCTACATTTTAAAAATTTTAAATTTAGAAAAAAAATTAAGAACAAGTAACACTTTTTAGGAAAAGTAAACTAGTTGAAGTCATTTTTTTAGTGGGTTAAACAGATAGAATGTAAGTTAATTATAAAGACTTTTTTAAAAGCGCATATATTGATAGGTTCCAGTCTATTAATGGAGAAGCATTTGCAAATTATATTACAACTCCTTCCAGTTTCAATATAAAGAAAAAATAGCTAAATTATATTTATTAAAAGGCTATTTAATTTTATTTAATGTTCTTAATTTTATTTAAAACATAAATTTTTAATATGCCTTTTATAATAATTATTACACAATAAATATTTAAGGATGATTTAACTTTTCTATTATCATTAAATGACATTAATTAATTGTTTAAATTCATCTGCAAAATGTCACTGCAAAAAAGTGAGAAAAAAAATGAGGATACTTTAGAAATTTATTCTAAGTAAAAAAAAATTATTTTATTTTACAAGTTGAATAAAATTATTAATGTTATATCTCGAGCAAAGAAAAGGTCATTAAAAATAAAATTTAAATAATTAATATTTTAGGAATGATTTTATTAACTAACATAAAAATTAATTAAGATTTGCTTATATTTAAACTATCATACCTCGTTCGATATTGGAAGGAGTATGGTCTAGCCAGACGAAATATTTTTTAAAATATTTATTTAATCGCTGAACTAAAATAGAGTTAAAATAGGCAACATGCACTTAATTAGTCTCTGTTCATACTTATATGCCAGTAACTCTTGCAGTTATGATCGAAGGCTGTGTTTAGATGAAAAGTTTTTAAATTTTTAAAGAATATAAAATTAATAACGAAGAAAAAGTAAAATATGAAAATAGTTATAAGTGATAATTTTAAAAAATTAAACATAATAGATAAGTTTTCAAATTTTCAAGAAATCATTCAAATTTTATATAAAAATTATTTAATTAAAATTTTAGAGTATTTTAAAATATATTTTTTATTATCCAAATACATAGAATTTTATAATTATTAAAGGTAAAGATTTATAACTGCATGAAAATTTGACTGAAAGAGATGTATATTTGCTCGTTCACCGCATACTGGAATACTATATAGCACGCTCAAGATTTTCCATAATTTGGCCACATTCCTCCTCTCTATATGCGAAACAACTTGGATTACACAACATGACACATGTTATCGACTTTCAGCTCCCTTGCCAGCCAACACTCCTCGAATAGAATGTGCCATTGCTAAACATCGACCTAGCACATGCTCGTGAATCTTAACTAGATGACATCAACGACGAGCATGTGATGATGAACTGTGTTTTTATCCAATGATGATTTCCTTTTCTGGATTCAACTTACATATCACTCATCATATCTTTGTTGTCGATGGTTTTCTCTCTCCTCTTCCTTATTTTATTTTATTTTTCCGACAAGTGGTAATCCCAAGTGGACTTAACCAAATAGAATAAGGAGGAACATGAAGATGCTCTTCGCTTCAACTGGTTATGGGTTCTAGTTTATCACTCAGATAAAATAAGAGTGCAATTAATGCTACCCACGAACACCAAACACATATATTTTACATAGATCTTGTATGACCCAGTCTTTATTTACAAGGAAAATCCCACCCACTTGGTTTTCTAGATGCTGAGTTTCTCATAACCATCTCTCGTAATTTAAGTATTAATTGATCAAAAAGTCAAATATACATCACCCACTTCGTGCCTCAATGCATCTTCAACTAGTGAAGGGACACCCCCTCTGACTGAAAGTGACACATTCATTAAAAAAGTGGAAACAGAGAGAGGAGATCATGTTCAAGAGACACTCAAACAGATTTGTTGGCAAAACAGACAGATAGTTCAACACTTTAGGAACTAGTTTTCTTGTGAATACAGAGTGAGATGCATGTGAGCTGATATTCTGGTTTGGTGTCATGAAGGGTTTTCTTTCCATCAGCTTCTTGTTTTGTTGTTTCTTCCTTCTTTTGGATTCTTCAACTGCACTTCCTCTATGTGTTGATTCAAGTCAGTCTATAATTTCTTCGTTTGTCATTTTTTTTTTTTTTTTGAGTTTTGTACACTCAGTTTTTCTTTATAGTTGTGCATATTTTCTTTTTGGTGTAAGAGCACCCTTTACCCTCAATACCACACTCAGATTTTGTCCTTACAATGGAAGCACGTGTTGCAATTCCACAGAAGATGCACTGTTACAGAAGCGGTTCCAGCTGATGAATATATCTGATACTGCCTGTGCCTCGCTTTTGAAATCAATACTTTGTGCGGTAAGGTTCTGTGTTTTTTGTTTTTTCCCCAAAACCGTATATAATGAAAAGGACTAAAAAAAAGGAATAAAAATGTGTTTTTTTCCCCCTCTTCTTTGTCTCTCCCGTAGGTTTGGCGAATGAGTTATTTATGGTTTTGATATGATGTCAAGTAGTTTAGCTTGCTTGAAACAACAACATAAGGCAAGGTCTGCATGGTTGACTAAATACCAGTGGTCAAATTGTAAATATCAATCATTTTAATTCTTGATTTTACAAAAAATAAAATGAATGATTTTTAAAACACGAAGGACTAAACTGATGAACCCTTATAATTTCAAATACTAAAATGGGTATTCACTCACTAACAATTTTCCTGTAAAATAAACATTTTTATGCGAAAAAAATGGACACTAATGGCTATACCTTTTTGAAGCTGTAATGGTACATTGAGTAGGGTTGAGGAATTTCCTTGTCTTGTAAAGTGGCTAATTGATATCTCTAATAGTAACCACTAACCGCTATTTCACATTTCAAATTCAATCCATAAGTTTTACCCTGCATGCTGCTTTCCTGTCATGGCTAACTTTCTTTCTTTGTAGAAATGTGACCCTTTTTCAGCAGAGCTATTTACAGTTCAATCCAATCCCAGATCAGTTCCCGTGCTTTGCAATTCGGCTATTCCACCAAATTCTACTCAGTCAAAGGCAGCAGTACAAGACTTCTGCTCTGAAGTATGGGATACATGTCAAACTGTGTCAATAATGAACTCACCATTTTCCCCTTCATTACAAAGTCAAGGAGGAGGCACACCAGTTAAAACCAATGCAACCAAGCTAACTGAATTATGGCAATCCAAAACAGATTTTTGTAATGCATTTGGTGGAGCCTCAAATAATGAATCAGTGTGCTTTGAGGGTAAACCTATTGTACTGAATGACACTGAGACTCCTATTAGCCCCCCTCATGGTTTGTGCCTTGAGAAAATTGGAAATGGGTCTTATCTCAACATGGTTGCTCATCCTGATGGCTCTAACCGTGCATTCTTCTCTAGTCAAATGGGTAAGGTTTGGTTGGCCACTATTCCGGATGAGGGATCAGGAGGACAATTGGAGCTTGATGTACCAAATCCCTTTGTTGATCTAACTGATCAAGTTTATTTTGACACTCAATTTGGAATGATGGGCATGGCTTTTCATCCTAACTTTGCAAACAATGGTCGATTCTTTGCTTCATTTAACTGTGACAAAAATAAGTGGTCAGGATGTGATGGAATATGTTCTTGTAATTCAGATGTTAATTGTGATCCATCAAAGCTACCTAATGATAATGGTGCTCAACCATGTCAATATCAAACTGTTATCGCAGAATATACTGCCAATGGCTCTGCATCTCAACCATCCTTGGTACACATCTCTACACACAAGAAAATAGTAGTTTCTATAATGAGTTGAATTGAATGGATATAACTTCAATATTCTTGATTTTTCAGGCAACAAGTGCTAAACCAACAGAGGTAAGAAGGATATTTACCATGGGCCTCCCATTTACATCTCAACATGGAGGTCAGATACTCTTTGGACCTAATGATGGATATTTATACTTCATGATGGGAGATGGAGGAGGTTCTGGGGATCCATACAATTTTGCCCAGAACAAGAAATCATTGCTTGGAAAAATTATGAGGCTTGATATAGACAACATTCCAAGTGAGTAATACATCTTAATGACTGATGTGGTGACATTTAAAATATTGATCAATTGATGGCTATGTAAACGAGGGGGTTCATATAGAATCTAGTATGCTTAAAAGAAAATGTGCAGTTTAAATCATTGTATGTTTATTGAGTACTAATTATCATCCCTCCTCCCCCCCCCCCCCCCCCCCCCCTTCTCTCTTTCAATCTTGAGAATGACATCTATCATGAATCTTCAGGTGCATCAGAAATTAACAAACTTGGCCTCTGGGGTAGCTACTCCATTCCTAAGGATAATCCATTCAGTGAGGATAAAGGTTTGCAGCCTGAAATATGGGCCTTGGGATTAAGAAATCCATGGCGATGCAGCTTTGACTCAGAAAGACCTTCCTACTTTTTTTGTGGAGACGTTGGACAGGTTTGTCAATGCTTATCCTAAAATAAATCTTAAGGTACTAAATTAGTAGATTTATATAATATAGAACCGTTACGCAATCTGCAATTTAACTAGCTAAGAAAGGGAAAGAAACTTCAGAGTTTCTTAAAATTTGGATTCCTTGCTCCTGGAGACAACTGAACAAACAAAAGTCATATGCACTAGTCTTGACTCCTAAATATACTTCAAGCATATCTTTCTATTATTAAGTGCATGTTTTAATTTGCTTAATTTTCAGTCTTTGGAAAACTCCTTCAATAATATTTTAATCATAAACTACTTTGAATACAAAATAAGAATAGTACAGCAAGGTAAACAATAGTCCTGTTTGCAGTGTGACTACATCATGAAAACTGAGAACTTACCAGAAATAAATATTTTAAGTGGGAACTCCTAGTTACATAAATGATTTGCAGGATCTTTATGAGGAGGTGGATCTCATCACAAAGGATGGAAACTATGGCTGGCGTGTTTATGAGGGAACCTATCCATTCATTCCCACAGAATCACCTGGAGGCAATACCTCCCTCAATTCCATAAATCCAATTCCCCCAATATTGGGATACAACCATTCTGAAGTGAACAAGAATGAAGGATCAGCATCCATCACTGGTGGATATGTCTATCGATCCAAGACTGATCCTTGCATGTATGGAAGGTACACATGCTCTCTCTTTTCCCTCTGGCCCTTCAACTGTTTTTCATAAATGCATCAAATTCTAACTTATTAAACAAGATTTTTTGTTTACTGAACATTCCTCATGGTGCATAAACTCTTGCATGAGAACAAATTGCACCCACGTGTGCAATGTTATCAATTGTTTCTCATTAATCCTCGTTTTAGAGAAATGTTTTTTGAACCTCTCTGTTTTTAATGGTTTACTTTTATAATACATGTATATATATAATAAGGATAAAAGTGAATAGATAAAAATAATTATACATTTTTATTACACTTACAATTAAGTAGAAAGCTTATATTGAGAACGGAATTATTTGTTACTCTTTTATATCTGTAACCAATAAATATTATTATTATTTTAATTAAAATGCAGTATTTTTTATGCTTAAACTTAATTTAAAGAGTTGACATTAACAAAATTAATAATATATATAATATGATCATTTTTTAATATGTGAAACATTAGACAACATAAATTTTTATTAAAAATTATAACATTTAGTGATATTAATGCATTTAATTGTATTCCAGGTACTTGTATGCGGATCTTTATGCAGGTGCAGTATGGGCAGGCATTGAAGAGCCAGAAAACAGTGGAAATTTCAGCTCTAACAAAATACCCTTCAATTGTGCCCATGATTCTCCTATCCAATGTGACAATGTACCTGGAAGTTCCCTTCCAGCTCTGGGTTACATCTATTCATTTGGTGAAGACAACAAAAAAGATGTTTATGTTCTTACAAGTGCTGGTGTTTATCGAGTTGTTCCTCCAAGTCGCTGCAGCTACACTTGCTCACTGGAAAAGGCAACAACCACTACTCCTCCTTCTCCTTCTCCTTCTCCATCTCATGCAACCCATTGGAGTTACTTTTCTGGATATATGTTTCTCCACCTTTCATCTTTCTTCTTGCTTTTGATGGGTTTTATGTAGTACTTGACAACGTACTATGATCTTTGCACACTGCGTGTAGATAATTGAAGAGAATGTTTATAACTCACATTTTTTTTCTTCTCTAGTTTTTTCTCCTATTTTTTCTTTTCTATTGTATGATTAATTAATTAATATAAAAGGTAAGTGTATCAAAAATATGAGATTCCAATTTTATTGTTTATTTTCGTTCCTCTTATATCCTCTCCATTTGATGAGACCACAGATTGTAGTGCTTGATAGAGTTGGATTATCTAGCATGATTGGATTATAGTTTGGTACAATGAAAACCCGACTTTATTCACTTTTACTCAAAAGTTATGATTCGGAACTCAATTGATACATCTATGATTTTATCCACACGAAAAATCTAAATGCACGAAATCATTATATAATATATTTTTCTTTAATATAGGTTATGCTACTTACGATTGGTAATTGGCTATATCCCACACTCAATCTTGGATGAAGCATAAATGTTAACTTTGATCAATAATCACGAGGTTCGTGGGCAGCATTTAAAGTTTCATGCTCAGGTCTTACTGTACCATATAGTGTAGTCCAATTATTATAATTGTTGAAATGGAAAGATATCATTGAACTGAGCAATTGAACTGTTACACCACCATGGAAGTGAAGGGTACATTATCGGCAGTTGGTGTGGTGTGTGCCAATAAATGAGCAATGTTGATACATGTGTCAGTATTGACATGGCATAATTTTGGACCGCTTGGCACAGCTGCACTAGCAATTACTTGTAGAGTTAGAATGAGCTTAAAAGAATGGAATTGACAACCCACTGCAAAGGAACACTAGTCAACCTGACACTGAATTCCTTTTATCAATTGATGTCTTGAGAATCAGTATTTCAATTCATTCACTAATGAATACCAATCATTCATACTGTTCAGATATTTAATTTTTTTTATTTTAAAAATCTGTACAAAAATTAATCAAACTATTTCTATTGTTTTTACTATTTTATAAAAACATTTAAAACGGAAAATAAAATAAAAAGGTGATATTCTTTTGAATTTATTAAATCATTAATAAATAAGGTATTATTAAAAAATAATTAATATTTTCTTTTTTTTGAAATACTAAATGTTTTAAAATAAAGTTTTGTTAAACATTCAGAAATAAAATTTTTTTATAAAAAAAATATAATTATTGTATTAAATTATAAAATATAATAAATATATTTTTTAATAAAATTTTATTATTATTAACTATTTATCCTCAATTTTAATAAAATAAAATACTTAAAGATATGATATTGGACGGAAGGAATGATAAAAAAAAAAAAAAAAAGCCATTTAAACTGCGTAATACCTAAGAATCGAATTATTAATACTCTCTCTAACAGAATGACAGATATTGCATAATGGGATCCTGCATTTAGTACCCCAAGCCCATCATTCTCATCAAATACTAAAAAAAGATATTAGGAGCATTTTGAGGAATTAATAAAAAATTATAACAACGTGTAATTATTATAATTTTTAATTCATTGTAGTCATTTTTTAGTATACATTCTTTAAATAATTTTTAATTTATTTTAATAAATTTTATTATCAAAATTTACATTAAATTCTCACATAAAAATATTTAAAAAATACTTAATTAAATTATGTTGAAACGCTATTATTATTGTTACAAGAATTCGAGTTAACATAAAAAATAATACATTTAGGACTTTGTGTTTAAAAATAGTACAAGTTGATAAGTTAAATCGTGAAGCTAAATCCAGGAAAGAAAATGGTGTATTAAGTATGCAAATGAAAGACTAAAGGTTTGTTTGATTTAGTTTTAATTTTTAATTTTTAAAAATTATATTTTAAAATAATTTTATAAAACTGTGTTTAGAAAAATAAAATAAAATAAATCTTGTTTGATAATTTAGTTTTAAAATTATATTTAGTTAAATTTTTGTTAGTTTAAAAAAAAAAAAAAAAACAAAAACACCTAAATAGCAATTCTTTTTTTAATTTTAAAAGCTGAAAATAAAAATTAATTTTTATAAATAATTTTTAAAACTTACATTAACAAATAAGTTTTTTTATTTTTAATTTTAAAAACTAAAAATTCTATTTAAAAAGAGAAAACAAATAAGCTCTAATAATTGAATTTTTTTTTTTTACAAATGTACGATAAATTTTATAAAAAAAAATCCATTATATATTTATACATGAATCTCAATGTATAAAGTTTCTCTATTTTTAAATACACATAAAATTAGTCTCTTTATCAATTTTATTTTACCTAAATACTAGAATTCTCATATTTTTATCTGTTTCTTTTTGTCTTCTTGATGTATGCTATTTTTTTCGTGAATCAATGAAACAAAATTTAAAATCATAAAATTAACGATGTTCTATTTGTCATTACGAGTTACAACGCATGTTAGGTGTATTGACTAGAAATAGGAGTTTTCTTTTAACGACAACAAAATCTCATTCTACTTGTTGTATTTTGAAGTGTGTATCTAATTAATCTTATATGTTGATTTAGTATAAATCGGACTCCATTAATTTTTTCTCCAAACATGACCTAAAATTCGCGAAGTTTTGTTTTTAATTCTTGAGAAGTTGACTCTAAAATTCGTGGAGGCAGAACCAATCAGAACCTTAAAATTTATTTAGGACAAAATTATTTGAAAATGAAAGAGAAAATTGTGGTAGAAAATAATGAAGTATATTTTAAAAAAGAAATGGTCCATGGGTAGAAAATTAACAAATGATTTCGTAACATTTTAACAAAAAATTATTACAAAGGTAAATACATAAGAAAAGAATTTCTTGATTCAAGCCAATATACTTTGGACTTATTTGTACAGTGACCCTACGAGAATCTTGCCAAGATCGACCTAGTCAAACTGTGTCACATATTGAGAAACAGAAATTTGGCTTGATCCAATTCATTGAATAGGTTAGTACCTCTGGCCATAGCTTTAATGAGTGTTTCTTTTCCAGTTTCTTGACTTTAGTTTCAACTTTTATTCTTGTAGTCCTCACAAGAATGAACTTGGCTTCAACTTACTACTGTAGGAAGCTAAGCTTTCTCCAAAATCAACCAAATCAGTGACATGAAAAATAATTAAGGGAAAACACAAATTTTAAAGTAAACAAATGAATAAGGATTGCCAACAAGAAGTTTCTTGCTTAACTTGCTACATTATTGCTGTCTTGAGTTAGAGAAGGAAAGAGTATTGTTAACTAATGAAGACAAAGTACCTTCTCCTTTCTGTCTTCTTAACATGACCTTTTAAACTGAATCGCATGGATTAAAATAAATTGTTAAAAATAATTAATGTATTAATTTTTAAAAGTTAATTAAAATATTTAAATTTTAGTCTTATCAAAGACTTTTTTTGTTATATTAAAAATTAATTTAAATTTAATATACTAATGGGGTGGAAATAAAATTATATATATAATTTTTAAATTATATATATATATATATAAAATATTCCTGAAAATAAAACATGATCTTCCCAAGATTATAATGGTTATTTATATTTTCTTTTTCTAATATTTCCAGTAATGATTAACATAATACATAAGCGAATCTAACTTTGCCAATATGCATGATGATGAGCAGATAATGCCCCACATGCACAGATGAAACCCAGTACAGTAGTTCTGCAATTATTAAACTTATGCTTAACAACTCCTTTACATGCTTCAAACATGTACTTCAAATAAACACATTTACTTACAATTAGTTGAATTTACTCAAACATTTATATAACACATTACAATCTATATACGTATTTTTCTGTTATTCACTTCTCTTTCAGCAAAAAGGGAATTCAACTTGTTTTCTTTCTGAATCCGGTTTTAAACTTTTATTCCAGCAGCGGATTTACAAAAATGCATCTCTTGTCTTCCTTTTTTATGCCGAAAAGGGGAAATAAATCCATATTTTCGAAATTCTTCAGCCTCTGCAATTTTAGTTAGTAATTACTAGCTTATGTCGAATTAAACAAAGAGTTGCTAAGATAATTAAACAAATGACAAAAATTTTAAATTAGTGTTAAATAATAAAGTCGCATATTAATGTATTATTAACAAAGGTCACTTAAGCTCTTTTCTTTTTAATCGTTGGAAATATAAATTAGGGGAGGAGATGTGAAAATTGGCTTAAAAACAGGATTGGATCACTGTCTTTGATGGATATATTTTGCTAGCTCTTATTACTGAGCTATTACTGCAAAGACCCTCAAGCTTTACATCGTGCCCATGTTTAAAATCTTAATATAATTATAGAGCCAATACAAAAACATAAATCAATGGCCCATTTTTTTTAAAAAAAGGATCAATGAGTATACTACTAATGAGGACCTTATTGCCATAGAAAACACAAAAGTTGACTCCCCTCCCCAAAAAAAACTATTTTTTTCTTTATTTGTGGATTTATATTGGTTCAAGCTTTTGATTAAATTCAAAACTACCCTCTTTTAACTTGGATAAAAAATTTAAAACAAAACCAAACACACTGTTACAGATCTGAAGTATTACAAGAGAAACAGGGTAAGAGTCAAGGATAACTAAAAAAAACCTAATTTTATTTTTTTCCTCACTAAAATAATATCAGAAGTTGTCACTATTTTTTTTCAAAGCAAATATAAATTCGTGTTTGACTCATGAGTCATGAGGAACAGGCACTTAATTAAATTACCAGTCTAACCCAAAAGGTGAAGAAAAAAGAAGTGGTAGATTTTTTTCACCAATTGACCGAAAGTGAAAGCAAATCCAACTTTCACACACCAAATTGCAGCTATTGCTATTGTCCCCTCTTCCTCTCCATCACTCATCACTCTCTCTCTCTCTCTCTCTCTCTCTCTCTCTCTCTTCTCTCTCTCCCTCTCTCTCTCCCAAAGTTTTGCAGTCACATGAACAATACCTCATAGCATAGTGTATAGTGTATACACACACCTTTCCGTTTGAGGTTCGGATTGGACCCTTTGGTCCTTCCCCCCCCCCTTCTCTCTCTCTCTCTCTTCTTTTTTTCATTTTTCTTCTCTCTCTGTCTACAGTTCAATGCTAACCCACGATCCTCTACATGTAATCCCACCATAACTTCCCTAAACCCTCATTTGATCTCTCTCACCATGTCCCACGGATCCCCCTCTCCGGTTCCCGCCCAACCATCCTCGCCGTCGTCGGAACCCAATCCCCAAAACCACATCTCCTATTCCAAGGAGGAAACAGCCGGAGCTCCTCCTCCTCCTGTCACCCGGAGCAACCGCCCGCCCCGCGCGTGCACCATTCGCGCCGCCTCACGACTCCATTCAACTTTGCCGGCGGCGAAGAAGGAGAAATCGCCGCCGCCTCCGCCTTCGCAATGCAGCAAGATCGTGACGGCGCTTGTGGAGCCGCCCTCGGCGTCGCAGTTGGCGCGGTGGAAGCTGCGGTGCATGTGGGAATTCGCTTCGGCGCTGAATTTCTTGCATGTGAGCTTTGAAGCTTTGGTTTTTGTGTTTGGATTGCTTTTTCTGTATTTTGAAGGGTTGTGCGTTGTCGCAGTTGTTTAGGCCTCTTTTGAATATCTCATTAGAATTCTCTGCTGAAGAGTTGGAGACAGCGCTTCTTATACCCAACGATACTTTGTTTCACATACATATGCCTCTGCTTAAGGTTCGTCCTTTCTTCATGTTCTTGCTATTTTATCTTTCTTCTATGAATGTGGTCGTAGGCTTGGACTTGGGCTGAGTCTTTATTCAATGGGGTAGTAGGCTTCTGTAATTCCGGATTTGATGGAAGGAATTATTATAACCGAAGGCTTGCAATTTTTTAGTTTCTAATTATGTTATGATTGGTGACCTAACAATGAATTCAATAAATATAATATGGGTCTTGCTAAAAATAGGAAGTTTTTTTTTTTAAATTAGAAATCAAAGTGAGAATACATTACAAATCACAGTGTGGATTTAATAGTATATTTAATAAAAACTTTCCTTTTTGGATTTCTTAACCAGTGCCCTAAGGGCGTTAGTTAGCATTTTTGTATAATATTATGAGATGGAGTTTGGACATAATTGTTTGTGACTGAATTGCATGTTTGACAGAGATTTGTAATTAGATAGCAGGTACTGGATTTGAGGTTTTTATTACTAGTATGAGAAGGCTTTATTTACTTGCTAAAAAACAAATATGAACTTGCATTTTCCTTTCATCCCCATGGGTGTTAAATTAGGATATGTGCGGGTTGTAATATGCTGATCTAAAGGCCCATTTCCCTGCTGAGGAGTGGAATGTAACCTTAAAGTTTGTTTATTCACTTTTAAGAACAAAATATTTATGTTTGCTGTATTAAATGGCTACAAGCTGTAAAGCAGTCTGCATGAGTTTTAAAGCTTTGTCTGTGTATATACATGGGTTGACTCTGGTCCTGTTCCGAATGTTCTGGATGCAAATCAATTCTAAGGATATCAATTACTTACACAGTTTATAGAAGGGGTTATGCATCACTGTGAGTGAATTACAAGAAGGAAAGACCAACTTCGAAGAACTATTGAACCTTTGGTTAGAGGAGTCTTCTTCATACCTAATTATTACTAAAAGTTTTCTGACTTGAACTATAGTTCCATAGAAGATTCATCTATTGTGAGGAAAGTATGCAGTGAAAGGTTTGGAGATTTAGCTCTTAATTGAAGTTCCTATGCTTCAATAGGAAAACTGTTTTTATTAGAGGCAGGATATTCAACTGGTCACTGATCTAATGAGTCATGAATCAATGCAGTGGGAGTACTTGAACTTATGTTTATGTAAATTTTGTTTTTGATTTGAGTATTATAATAATATCAATCTTGCATTAATCTCTTCTGAGGGGATGGTTAGGTAACTAGGTATGTATTTGAACTTTTAAGATGTGGTGTAAGCTGAAGTTCTGCTGCAATGATCTTTCTCAAGGTCTATTTCTTAGAAAAGCAGTACTTTCATCTCCATTTATTTGCAGAGCTGCTATTGGTCTGATAATAATATTTATTAAACATTTTGATAGGCAATCCCTCCTATCACCCGGATGGCACTCACACGTGATACTTGGATAACAGTATTATGCAGGAAATTGAGAGATTGGTGGCATTGGGTAATAAGACACTTTTAATCAGCAAGCTGATTTTTTATGAGAATGTATATTTACAATTTCTAGAGCTAATAAGGGGACGGAATTCAAATGCAGGTTGCCGATGGGAATCTTCCAATCGTTGCTTCACATGGGTAAATCTTCATGCAATTTTTTGTATCCTTAGATGTTAATCTTTGTATTTCTCAAGTCTCAGGTTATGCTAATGTGGCAGGGCGGAAATTGAAGTATATAAATCACTTGATCCAGGGGTCCGTGTTGTCATCTTAAAAGCATTATGTGACATTCGTGTTGAGGTATTTTTATCTTTTAATATTCATCTATCTATATCTTTCTATCTTAAACAGGTTAACTTTGGTATCTTAGGATGAGGTCCCTCTGCTTGATGTTAACTTGAATCTTAATGGATGAATTTGTACACAGTCCATTCATGCTGGGCACCTAAATAAATGCTGTTATGTTATATGCACAAGCATAGGTCCCCTGTTTCAGCTTATTTTGTCATGCTCCTTGTATCTTTCACATAAACCAGTCCTTTATGCTTCTGCATTTAACAAAGTTGTTATAAATTATAATTAGCATCAATCTATTATCATGTGATATATTACAATCCACATAGATGTATAGCCATGCTTTATTTTACTTTTTTAAGGGCCAATGACATCTATATCTGATTAGGTCTCCTCAAAGCATGTTTGGAACTTCAGAAGCAATATTTTTCAAAGTTTATAATCTGATTGACGGAGAAATGCTGTTGGTGTTACTGTTCAAATGTGCTTGGGTAATTTAGATTATAATCTCAGATAAAATCTCAACCAAGGAAACAAATTTTGGAGCTTATAACTGTAAGCTGACAGTGTATTTTCTAGTTAACTTTTGTTTTCCCTTTTTATTCCCAACAATTTATTATTTTAAATATAAAACTAATTAACTAACTACTACAAATGACTTCATACCTTTTTTTTTTAATAATTTTACAACATAGTGATTTTTCAGGCAATCCAATGATTATGCAAAAATCAATTTTCATCTAACATATCCAAACATAAAACTTATTTCATCTCATAATCATTTATATTTATCATCAATTAGTAAATAATCTTTTTTCACAGCTAATCTAAACACACTTGTTCTCCTAAGATCTTTTTTTGTGGGGGGTATAAGAGGTGTCAGGGAAGCTGAGACCTCTATATCAAAACCCAACCCACTGGGTGCATCCATAATTCCCAAATGGTTTTACTTTGGTTACCCCTTTCTCTATTGTACCAGTGACATGATGATCAAATTTGAGTAATATTTTGCAGCAAGAAGATATCCGAAGTTATATTGATAACTCAATCAAACATGGTGTTCAACTTTCAACATTCCGTAAAGAGCGTATTGGAGGTGATTCACATGGAATTTATTATTGGTAATATACTTTTGTTTTCATGTCATCAAGGTCAATTTAAAATGTTACATTACATTAGAAAGTATTATTCATTTAAGTCTGTTTGTGGTTTTATTCATTTGAAATTTGACTAGTGCAGGTATGAAGATGACCCCATTATTGGTCATAGGTTGTATCGAGAAATAAGGAAAACTGAAGTGATCCAAATGAAGAAAGGGAAAGCAAGAGGTTCCCAGGTTATTTCTAGTACATCATTCCAGTGGGAAGCTGTTGCTACTAATTTTGATGAATTTCAAGATGTTTCTGTAAGTTGCTAAAGCTGTTGATCTATGTTCATTTTAATGAGTTATCATTTAACACAGATTTCTGATTGAGATATTCAATCACTTAATAAGCTAAAAAGTAAATTATATAATAGTGCTGTTATATTGGAAACTGCAATACAGTTCTACCTTTACAATGATTAGAAACTCAAACTTATATTCTAAGCAAACTTTTTGGAAGTACAAAACTGTAACTGCATTGGAAATCCAAATTTTGTCCTCAAATTATGAATACATTAGGCTCACAAATTATTTATCAGAATCTAATTATAAATTGATGGAAGCTTTCATGATTAAAATTACTAAAGATTCTTATTTCTTGCAGATTTTATTGATTTTTATATTATTGTTTTATTTTACCAAATAAAACCATTATTTAATGTTCATGGGCTCACATTATCCATTGGAATTTTAAGTAAACTCTATTATATCAGAAAGAGAAATTTACTAAAGTGGGTAGAAATAAACAACTAGAAGAAAAATGACAACACACCCATCAGGATACACATGCATAATAAAAACAACCGCTGAACCTTGTCCCATTAGGTGAGGTTACACATGCACAAATAAGGAAAAATTATACTGTTTGATTTCTGTGAGGGGAAAAGACATTGAGAATAATACTGAAGAAGCAAACATATGAAGTGATAAAGTTTGACTTCCGAAAATTCTGTGAGGATTTTCTTTAATTTAATAAATTCCCTAGTCAATACACTTTTTTTTCCCATTTTTTAATGGATACTATTGTTTTTAGCAGTTCTTACACACAGATAGGCATAGTCTTCTTCAGAATGTTGTGGATAGTTCTTCAAAGTCCCAAGATCTCTTTGTAGCTCTGCTATGTAGGTTCAAAAAGTTAGTTGTTTGATCTCACAAGTAAACAATATAAACGTTTGTTGTTTAACCTATATTGATTTAGAATTACTGCAATCTTAACTGGCGATGTAAACCAGAGGGGTTGAAGTTTCTCTCTCAATTATGTTATGATATCAGATGTTTAACGTGGAAGCAATTTTCTCATTCAATTGTTTGATGATTTGTTGTTTGGTCAATGTTATTTCATAGTAAAACTTTATCCAGATGATTGGATTCTCCCTTATTTTTCTTTTTATATTCTCTGTAAGTTAAGAATAAAAAACTTCCCCTGCTTTTTTTATGATTTATGTCTTGTTCTTTACATTGAGCTGTGTAAGGAATTTAATAAATTCTTTCATCTGCTCACACAGGAGAAGCTTTTCTCTAGTAAAAACAGAACAGAGGCTTCTGTGGGGAAAAAGGTGAAGATGGACATGCTTCCTGAAATTGAGAAAGTTCATAAGGTACTCTATACTAGGTTGAGAAATTTGAGAAGAATTGGTGTTTGGATAATTAAACTCAAATTCTGTGCTTTTTTTTTTGTAATCATGATTTATGGTCCTTGAAGGAACTTAACTGTGTTTTTAACTGATACCAAATTGATTTGTGTGTTGGAACAGAAAAAGGAGAGGTTACTGAAAAAGCAACACAGAGAAGCTCTTCTTCTTGATAATTACTTGGTTGTTGATGGGATTGGTCCTGGGCGTTCTCTTCGAGACAGGAAACCTGTTACCTATACTTTTGGTAAGAGCAAGAAAGTTTAATTGTAACTGGAGCCAATGTTTTCATGTTATTGGTAGTTGATGCCAACATTACTAATTGGTTTGAATTATTATTTAACAGCTGGAGCTTGTCTGTTAGTCTGCACTCCTCTTGTATAAATGTTAGAAGAATACCTAAAAAATAACTCACAAAAATCTTGATTGCATCTTTGAATGTTTTAGTGTCTTACATGATCTTTAGAATATATTGAGAAAGCAATATTAGGAGTTGTTTCCTTATTTAATTAAGATTAATAATTTATTGTATTAGGCAACTTGTTGGGCATGTTTTAGTAATTATATACTAGTACTTGACCTAATTTTTAAGATATATAGAACCTTTGAATCAGTATTTTGTAACAGGTGATTGCAACACGCATCAACATAATAAAATAGTATTCAGAATCTTTAATCCTTTTCCCCACCTTTTTCTACCTAAATACTATAATTTCAACCCAATTTGGGTTTTGGTAATTGCGCTTGAAGCACGTACTCTGGTCTATTAACTCATATGTACATTATGCCTGTAGGGGAATGTCAATGTTAGGGCGCATCAGTGCTACTATAGGGATAATGTAGTGGAAATATTGATGGTGGCTATTTATTTTTGGATCATCCAATGAGTCAATGATCTGATAAAGAATGTCCTATTTTTTTCCTATCTGGTGATCAGTAGTCTGTCTCAACACGATATGATATTATTAATAAAAATCTTAGATTCTGTATTGTTTACTCAGTATTTGGGTAATTTAAAGAAAGCCTTGGTGCAACGTCCAGATTTCTACCTTGTGGTTTAGTGGTTGGTTGCTGGTTTTAGTCAGGGAAACAACACTTCTCCTCATGAGGGTAAGGCTGTACATATGACCCTCTCCATTACCACAATGGTTGTAGACTTGTGCATTGGGCCACGGCCACCTTTTCTTTTTTAAATCATGGTTGTTCAAGATTCAAAAAACAAATCACATTGGTTGCCATCCCCCCTCGATGGTGGTTAGTTGCAGTGAGGCATTTTTGGAAATGAAAAAATCCAGTGTCACATTCTTCTGCAACGTGCAACTTCATAGATTGGCAATCTATAAAAGCTAGAATTGCATCCATTTTAAAAATTATTTACAATGAGCTTGGTGGTTCGAACGTATGAGTGAAAACTACAAAAGTATGAGTGCTATGAACACACTGAGTGATTGAAATTTGTGGCAAATTACAAAAGCATGGGTGAAAATGATTAAATTAAAAGTGAGATCTACATGATTTTTGTGATTTCAAAAAAATAAAATCTAATAACAGTGTGTTATAAAATGTGTTGCTGGCATTTCTCATATTCTAAAACACTCACATCTAGCCCAGTGCATTTGTCTTTGTTCAAATTGTTTTACCTGATTTTATTTGTAGTTGGACTTGAAATCAAGTTACCACCTGCTTAGAAACCACTGTGTTTTAGCCTAACGTAACTTTTGACATTACTGTTATTGCAGATGACTATGATCGATCAATCAATGAGGCAATTAAAGTAACCAAGTATGCGCTTATATCCTTTCACTCTTCGTTATTTGTATATCTCTGGGGTGGGAGATGGGCCAGTCATACTCACTTGTACTGCATACTCATGACATGAATATCTGTTTCTTCTGATTTCAGGCGAAAACAGCCATCTCCAGAACCTATGCCTAGGAGAGAATCAGTAGTAAAACCTGAGGCCTTGACTAATGGTAAATATGGTCCTTCGCATGCCACAGAACATCTGAATTTTGGCATGTCATCTCCAGAATCACTTGACTCGGATTATGATGAGGAAGATCATGAAACTGATTCAATGGACCGAAGGTGTGTAGTTTTTGTATCCATCAAATCTGTTCAGATGCTTTCTATCTAGTTTTCATTAATCGTTTCACTTTAACATCTGCAGTCGACGAAGACAGAGACCTAAGCGGTATTTAGATAAAGAGTTTGTTGAAGCAGTATCAGATAATGAGGCAGACTTTGACAGTGACGATGATATTGTTGGAGAAGCTGTATATGATGAAGAATATCTCAAGAAACGCAAGCAAAGGAGGCCTTCTAGTAGCTCTGAAGGAGATGAAGAATATCAGTGGGATGAATACAATGAAGATGACGAAGAAGAAGATGATGATGATGATGAAGATTCCTTAAGCATCAGTGAGGATAGTGATAAACCCCGTAAGGTTAAACAGTTGCCAGGCCGTACTAGGAGAGAAACCAAACTCAGGTCTGTGGATGAGATTCAATCAGGTCTTAGACGCAGTAAGAGGGCAACTAGAAACCACATAAATTACCGACAATATGAGGCGTCAGATTCAGAAACAGAGTTTGTTAAACCTGAGAAGTCCAATACATCAGCTGATCATTCGGATCCCAGTGAGAATGGTGAATACATGATGGAAAGTGAAGATTCAGATGAAGATCAGGAAATGAAAGTAGACGAGCCTGTTACTTATCCTGCAGTAGAACAGAATGAGCAAAACGAGCCTCCTGAAAAATTAAGTAGTCCTGGTCAGGAAGAAGTTGAGGGCACAGGAAAAAGGCGTTTTCTTGATTTGAATGAGCTTGCCCCTAGCACTGGTTTTGATGATGGTCCTAACACGATAATGAAAGATGAAGACAATGATTACTGAAGCTTCTCTCTCTGCTTTAGAGCAGGGATGGTAGTTTCTATGAGGGGAAGCCAATATGTATGATAGTAGAACTATAAATTTTGTTATAAGCCCCCGAGGAAGAGGTCTCTTCCTATGGCATAGTCTAAGCAAAGCAGCCTTGGGGCATGATTTGCCACCAGAAGCAGCATGATACTGAGTCATGTAGATTAGGTAGTCATTTTTTTCAGTAAAGGGTCCTCCAAAATGAATGAGAAATTGTTGGGCGTTATTTAGCCCATCCAATCCGTGTACAATAGCTGTTTAACAGGTACTGTAACTTTAAAAATATGTGGCTTTCAGATTCTTAAGCCCTGTACTTATCTCTTTCTTTAACTTGATACTGATTAGTGTGATTACCACATTAGATAGAGCATTTCGGTTGACAACCTGAAGCCATATCTATATTAAAGGACTTGTTTAGTCACCTGGACAAAAAACTTGTCATTTAAAATTTTCTTCTGACATATGACAAACTTTTACGGCGATGAATATAATATTTTTTTTTTATTTCTCAGAGTCATTATTTGCTAGATTTAATATTCATTCGTTATGCATCACTTTAGATATTTTAGTTTGTCTTAATATTTATCATTTTAGAAAATTAAGAAAATATTTTTTTTAATTTAATTACTCATTTGTTGTTATCTTACCTAAATAGTTCAATAAATTCACAATTGTAATTTTAATAAGGATTTTATGTTTACAAAGAAATTATGTTATCAAAGTAATTTTGCGTAGTCAATAATTTCTTTTAAGAACGGGGCATTAATATACAAAAAATGAGATTTAAAGAGTATTTTCTTTTTCTTTCTTAAATACTCAAATTTTATCTTCTTCTTTCTCTTCATGCTATCCATCATATTTGTTTTTCTTTTCTCTCAAAATTTACACACTTGAAAATATATGAAAAAATCATTTTGAAAATTTATTTAGGATTGCATATCGCTTCAATAATCAATTAGTGGTGATTATATTTATTTATTTATATCGTAACAGTAAATTCAAATTTAAACAGTTAAAAAGATTATTTAAGAATTTAAACAAAATATTCACCTCAGATTAAAATAAATTTCAATCACATAAAAGTACTGATAGTTTTTCAATTTGATTAAAAATAAAAATTAGATATATTAGGTTTTCTTTTCAATCTTTTTAGCAATTTTTTTAAAAAATACAAATAATATAATAAAAAGTATATGCATACATGATACTTGCATGATGGATATTGCGAACTAGCGATGGAAGTAATATTTACTATTAATCACCGATTCTGCATAGCAATGTAATCGAAGCACATTGTCTTACTAAACTAAATATTCCATCCGATCTTATGAATAAAATCCTTTTAATTGAATTATATATATTTAAAGAGTTATTAAAATTAGTTAATGTGTTGAGTTTTAAAAATTAATTATAATATTTCAAATTTATTTCTATAGAAAGTCAAACTTCATCATGCATTGATTGATGAAAAGTTACAGAAAGTTTAGTATTCATGAGAGACAAAATTGAAAAAAACAATAATTAGGGAGGTACCTATCCATAACAATAAATTTTATCAACTCCCTAAAAGAAGTGCAAAATTAATCCCAAAAGAAGGAAGATTTTTAATAGGAAATCAAAGATTTCATATGCTCAATTACAATCCGAACTAAACAAGAGCGTTGGAAGTATGTGTACTATGATGAGAAATGTGCCTCACAATTTACCCTCGTGCCAGAATTTCTTTTACACAAGATCATCAATAATGAACTATCGCTGGCATTGGTTCATTGCTTGTTCAGTTTCTTTATTACATAAAAGTTCACCATTTTCCTTGATGGAACTCTTATATTGCACATCCTCATCATTCTCCTTAATGGGACTACTCTGTCTCAGTTCCTCAGCTTTTGTAGCAGCTGCTGCTTCCTCAAGTGCTTCAATCAAGTTTGAAAGACACTTATGAGCATCATCCAGTGGAGACTTGGGCATAAGGTTCTCAGCAACATCAGCTGGAGTGATCTTGATCCCCCCCATTAGCCTCTTAATTGTGTCAAACAATGGATGAGTCTCAAGCTTCAAGTAGTTATTAGCAAGCACTTTAAACCCATCAAAACTACAATAGGAAAGCTCAACATGCTTGTCCATTCTTCCCCTTCTAATGAGTGCAGGATCAAGCTTCTCCACATAGTTTGTTGTGAACACAATCAACCTCTCCCCTCCACAAGCTGACCATATTCCATCAATGAAATTCAATAGCCCTGAGAGTGTGACTTTGCTGCCACTATTTCCTTCTTCTTTGCTGTCTTTCCTTCCAACGACATCCTTGTCATTCTCATCATCTGATAACTTATCTGATTTCTTCTTCCTCTGCCCTGTAAGATCAAGTGAGCAATCGATGTCCTCAATAACAATTATAGACTTACTAGTTGTCTCAATCAAGAGCTTCCTCAGCTCAGTGTTGTCCTTCACAGCAGTGAGCTCCAAGTCATAGACATCATAGGCCAACAAATTGGCCATTGCAGCAATCATTGTGGACTTACCAGTGCCTGGAGGGCCATAAAGAAGATAACCCCTCTTCCATGCCTTGCCAATCCTAGCATAGAAATCCTTGCTCTTGCTGAAAGTAACCAAATCCTCGATGATCTCCTTCTTCTTCTCAGGCTCCAAGGCCATTGTGTCAAAAGTGGCAGGGTGCTCAAACACAATGTGGCTCCACATGGTTTGCTTGTAACTTGGCCACTTGTAGCCAGGGCTGTTAGTGTATAACTTCCTCTGCCTGTTCCTCAAACGAATCTCCTTCCCTTCCCTCATCACATGCTCCAAATATGACCCAGTTATTACCTCTCTATACTTGTTGTGAAAAGTGAGCTTATAGAACCTTTTCTCTTGTTCTTGATAATAAGACATTGGAGACCTTGTTGGTGACATAACCTTGCTAGACACCCACCAAACTTTAACACCCTCATAGTCATCAGTTACTCTCTCATACTCATCCATAGTCAACACCAAGTTGCTACTATCCTTTCCCATCTCAGCTTTGAGCCTCTTTGCACTCTTTGATGTGTTGGCACTAAGGTATGCCTCCACAGCAGCATAGGCCTCACTACGCTTGAGCCTGTCTCCCAAGAACTCATGGAAAGATATTCTGATGTAAGGGTAGAAGTAGCCCATGATCGTATGTGTGTACTTCTCAAAAAAACGTCTAACCTCGTAGGGACAATATTGCCTTATGATCGCCCAGACAAACATGAAGCTAGCTAAGGTTGACCCCATTGTTGTCCACATCTCACTCATCTTCAGTGGCATCATTGTGTGTGTGTAACTTGGGGTTGATGAAAATATGGACTTGTATGTGATGGAAAGAGCAACAAAGCTCTCTCCTCTTTGGCCTTGTGTGTTCTCAAAAAGTGAGGGGAAAAGAAAAAAGTAGAGAGAGTGGGTAGGGATGAGAATTGAGAAAGAAGAAAAGGACTAGTGTTTATAAGAACCAAAATGAGTCAAATGACACTAAGGGAAGGAGTGTGGAGTATTTTTAAAAGGGGAAAAGGACAAGAAAGATAGAATATTAGGTTCCACTAAGTCCTTTGATTTGGTGGGTCTATGTGGAAGGTGGTCCAAGAGCCTCAAAGATATGAGCTGATTCATGCTATGTTGTGTCTTATTGGAGATTGCAGGGAAAGAAGGCTTAGAAACTTGAGCAAATACCATAAGAAAAAACAAATGTGGCCCCCTATCTATGAAGGTTTTTTTGCGCATGATTAGTGAAACTCTCTCTATTGAAGTTGCTACTTGGCTGTCAATGGAGATGACGGCCTTCTCAACACAACACATAATGGGGTCCTTCTCATGCTCACAATACTTAAATTTCTTGTGCTTGTGTCTACTTCTCATTGTTTGATACAGGGCTTGTCATTTTCTTCAAGTTGTTGAAACATAATAACACAAAGACAAGAATAATTCAACTTGATAAAGTTACACCACTAATGTTTTCCATATTAGATCCATGTTAGATGTTTGTTTCTTATCCAGTCTATATATAATTTCCCACTAAGCATTATTATAAAATTAAATTCAATGTTTAACTGTGGTCTAATTTGTATGACGGATATCACTTGATATAATGACGCAAAGATTCCTGAGATCATCAAATTAACACCTCCTGAGTAATTATTTTGCTAATTATGTTTCCTATGAATCAGAGTCTCTCGACTTAAATTGGGAAACAGAGAATTAAAAAAAATAGAACCCAACATGAATCATTTTTCCGATTCAAACACAAAAAACAGATTATTAAGTATTAAAGTTGGAATGTTCAAGAGAGGATTCTACTAAGTACTCTCGACAACGTCAATTTGATATACTGTTCAAACCTTAATTTGTAATATAACTTGTTGGGGTGAAGAAATATGCGACTTTCATTGATTCTGTGTACAAAAGATATCTCTAAAGGTAAATAAAAAGATACGGAAGAAAACAGAATCAAACGTTGTTGTTCTATATGCCCCAAAATTATAGTTCACACAACCATAATTTTCAGAGCAGTTTAATTTAAAGTTAAATAAATTTTATTTAAATGATTGAGTATGATTAAGACATGTATTTAAGTTAATCTAAATCACATTTTATTAAAAAAAATGAGAATTAAGTCGATAAATTTAAAACAAAGTGATATGAAACTTACCTTGGCAAAAGTGGTTCACACTTCACGGTCATGGCCATGTGATACCTGCCGCCACCTTTTAAATTTGAACAGGTTGGCGTGACATCCATTAGTTTTATGTTTCGGTAATGAACCGATCATAACCATGCCATCTCAACAGTAGAAATGGGTTGTGTTTTTAAAATATTGTTATTCATATCATAATCTTTATAAAAATCGCTGTGTAAAATTTATTAGAAAAATTTATTACAAGTATGAGTAGTTAAACGCGAGTTTTTACTGTATTATGATAAGATTTCCCGATACGTACGATGCAGAATTGGGTAGTAAAAGGGAAGATTGTGGTTCACTAGAAAATGGAACACGAGATTATTGAGATAATTATATTTCATACAAATGAGGCACTTTTTAATGTTATACGCACATGACACATCTAAAAAATAATTATGATTAGCTAAAATCCAAAACCCCAATCTGCTACTGCTTCCACAGCTGGTAAGGCTCCAAAAACTCAACAAGTAAACAAAAATTGGGTCATTATCGTTGGCGTGGCACTTGTACTTGACTCAACAAAAAGTTATGCCTTCCACTAGTGTTTTCAGAAGGGACTCGTATAACTTTTCCACATTCTCTCGAGTCCCTGTAAATCTTTTTCATTTAGGTAAAATAAACTACATTCAATATTTTATTTTTACTCTTTTCCCTGTTAATAAAATTAAATTTATAAAGAAAATTTACAATTGTGAGTAATATAATTTCATTATTTAAACATCAAATGATTAATGTGTATAACTATTTTTATGTTTTACTTATAATTATTTGATTTTTTGTATAAACATGTCTTGAAAAAGCTCCTCTAAAATAGAAGGGAAAACAAAAACTGTCTTACTTTAATTGAAAAACAAAATTCCCTAGAGGAATAATAATTAACTGTTATAGCAAGGATAACGATCTTAATTGAGACAAAGGGTAGGGGCACTCTGGCATGAAACCTAGCTAAATCAAATGTGGTGACAATTTAATTCAAATCAATAATGGCATTTATATAATCTGATAATTTTGTGGTGGTTGTCTAGGAATTCATTTATTCATGTTTTCTTGTCTGGTGAAGACATAATTTAAATGCCCTAACAGACTTCTAATTCATGTCTTATTCATTTATTTTTTGTTTTCAGTACAAAAATGATCATGGCTGTGTCTAAACCATTTTAGATAATAGTCCATCTCATTGCCTTTGACAAGAGTTGTAACGTTTGCTGATCATGATCGATGAATGCATTAGCAATAATTGTACATATATTATAATTCTTCAGTCGATGCATTATTGGTCTTACACTCTTACCTGCCCAAATAATATGTTGGATTGGAATAGTCTTGTAACCTAGTATGTACCTATTATATGTATGATCGTTCAAAATGCTGTTGATGCTTCACCTGTTCCGATTTCAACAAAATAATTTCCGAAAGTGGCTGATTTCAAGTTGTAAGTCACAATTTCCTCACACGCTTGCAACTCTGAATTCAACTTTTTAAAACATCTCAGTGCTAACTAAGCTGACAATGAATTTTTATTTTGTCGAATTGCATGATATCTATACTTATCTTTTATTTTATTATATTTTTGCTATCACCCTCTTTAAACTGCATCACATCATTAATCACATCTTTCACTAAAAAAATTTCTCTGATTATCCGTTATTGGAGAACCGCTAACCATAAAACCATTAAGTATGACAAAATATTATAAAAATTTAAACAACTAACTTTTCAAGTTACTTGTATAAAAAACTGTTATACGGAATATTGTAATATTATAAAAAACTAACTTTTCATTGAATTTTGTAATATTATCATGAATATTATATATACATATATATATATATATATATATATATATATTATGCAATTTATCGTTCATAAATATATAATCCAACAATAACTATTTAACTATATTTTGAATATATCACCCGTTAAAACATAGCAAAATAATAAAGTATCAATTGCTATTTAAATTTTATAGAGTTAATCTACTTTATAAAAATTTTACATTATTCATTTGATGAAAAATTATTAAAAGGAGTTATTTTACTAATTAATGTGATTTGATCTTGACCCAGTTTATAAAATGTCTAAAATACTGGAATATAAAAAATATTACAGAACTTGTGTGTTAAACAATATGTTCCAATTTTCATCCGGTAGTAGTAGATATTAAAACACATGTTCCCACTTCCCAGCCGAAACAAATAAACCCCCGAAACAGAAGATGATATAGATTAACTTAAATAATAAAATTATCTTTCAAAAAGAATGAATAAATAAATAAATAATGGAATTTAAAAGGCCATTTATACAGAGCTACCTTTAACTATCCAAGCTCCACTGTATATACAATATTCGAAGCTAAGCTATGACTGCAAAACTTGTTTACTTTGATCCTCACTGAATTCAAAGATGGTGGCAACCTATACCTCATCTTTATCTCATGTTGCAACATTGAGGCCTTGTCTGCGTCTGGAATTTATCCCACAAGCACATCATCTGCCTAGGCGATTGGTAATGGGCTGTATAATAGTCTTCTACACAACCAAATTGGCAGAACTTGAAGCTGTGCATATAGTATACCGGTTTCGTTCGGTTAAATTGCTCCACCCACATTCCCATGCTCACATCTTCCATCTTAAACAACTGCATAAAGAAGAAAATGCCAACACCTTCAACCACTATGGACAACAGATGCACCATCATGGAGATACCTGAGCCATTACAGTTACAGGACAACAGAGAAAATGTGCAATATATATTAGTACACTAACCCTTAACTTGTGCATCTCAAATTGAGATACAATGTAGCGTGCAATATCAGAAGACAAAACATAACCCGGTCCGTTAGCATAGGGTGGGTAATCCTCTTCAGGCCACTCCTGAAAATAGAAGACAACATTAATAAATTAATATACCAAAATTATCACCAGCAAGAATTTAGATGTTACAATTGACAACGATAAGGAAGCAGGAGCCATTGTTAAATCAATCACAACCAATTCTACAAGAGTAAGACTTCAGAATACTCAAGAGTCAAGATCAAGAAAGCATTTCATTGAATGCTCGTGTATGGTAAGCACAGTTACGGACCATGGTCTCCAATTCATAAATTCAGACAGCTAAGAAATATGGTGCTGCAACAAAGTACTGCAGATAAAAATGGGAACTTGATGATGACTGATTTGGAGAGAGAAAATGGATGCAATTTTTGCATGGAATAATTATTGTATAAGCACAGACCAATCAAAAGCTTGTGAAGTATTGAAATAATAACAAAGTTTGAGTTGAAATTATGCCTAACACCTTGCTCATGCACAGATACACTATTTGGATCAAATACAGACACGTTCTTGGTAACATATTGTAACAAACAAATTCACAAATATTTTTCCCAGACAACTTTCGCTCCTTAACTATGATAAAACCATAGCAACAGGTTCTGATTACCTCATATGTAACAGCCCATTTACCATGGCGCAAGGGTTTGTGGTGATAATTAATGTTCCCGATATAAAAACTCCTAGAAATTGGAACATTCCTTGCCTCATTTATAATAGCATCCACTCTTACAAAAGTGTCATCGTCACCCTTCATGATATACCCTGCAGAAACTGTGCGAACCTGTGAACGGTGCAGCAAATCTTATAACTCTCTTAAAATTTATTCCTTTTTCAAATTGAAAGATTTTTAAACAATCAACAACTTACTCCGTATTCACATATGGCCACCGTTTTCAACACAACAAGGTCATAGTTATCCATGTAAGGAACTATAACAATATCACCAAAATATTCTGCTTCCTTCTTCAACTCTACATTAACTTCTTTCCTCTGGTGCTGTTAAAACCATTCAAATGTCAAGAAATCAACACGAGCAACGAAACAAGCATAAAATTGAGAAGCTTGTCAACTTGTCTGCATTACCAGTGCCACGAAGAAACGAGCCACCACTTTCAAAGACTTGACAAGGCTATGCTGCATCCATGACTTCCTCAGAGCCATCCGTTCAGCAAAATGGTTTCCAGCCGAAAGGACGCCAACAAATAATTCCACGCCAGAGTAAGGAAGCTCTGGAGCACGCCATCTTGTTGAAAATTCAAGATGCTGCTGAGGTGAAATGCCAGGATGCGCTGAAGGCAAAGAGGCGGCAAATACAGAACGGACATCAATGTCCCCACTCAAAGTAAGACCAGTGGCATCCTCAAGAGTAAACCCCTGTTCAAACCAAACAGCAACATTAAGAATCATGCAAAAGTCATAACCCATATTGAGATTGACAAGTTAAAGGGCAATGACAACTTACCGTGCTATAAGGAAAAGAAGTTACATGCCTCCCATCAACATTAACATGATAACCCTCCAATCCAGCACTCAGAGTAAGAACAAATAGCTTGTTCTCAGAAAAAGGGAATGGCCAATCAACAGTTACTTGCTTTGTTCGACCAATGAGTCTCTTCAACCACCACGCAGCATTAGACTCCCCTGCATGCCTATCCACATCATCACCCCAAATCCACTTCTCACACTTCAACAACCCATCAACTGTATCAAACACAAGCTTAGTTAAACTATCTATCATGTCACAATTCACAACAATGAAAAACAAAAAGTGAATTCATTTCATATTAATTTTACCAGTATCTTCATCAGCCCTGGATTTCCAACCATCACAACGCAAAGCAGAACCCCAATGCATGCGGTAACAAGTGTTGAGTTCAATCACGGGTTTCCCACTCCAATCCCCTTTCAACCTAGGATTGAAATGCAATATCCTAGGTGGTTCTTCCCCTTCCACGATCGTCAACCCCTGCAACTCCATCACAAACTGACACGTTTTCCGTTTCATCGTTAACGGTATCCCAACCACCGTTATGTGGGACCCTAACGTGAGCCCACACGGAATAACCGCCACATTCCCGCGGCCCAGAAACTCCGACCCGGATAACGCAAAGGATCGCGGGCACGACCCGGATCGGTTTTCGGGTTTCGTGATCACGCTTCGCGGGTTCCCTGATTCTAGTTGTAGCTCTTCCCAAACGGTTTTCCCCACTCGGCACGCGGTTTTGTAAAGCTTGGAATCGAAAGCGGCGTCGTTTAGGATCAAAGAGGAGACGACAGCGTTTTGGCGGTGAAGGTGTTGTAGGGTTTGAGTGAGTGGTTGGTGTTGCTGTTGGGTTCTAACGACGAAGGGGATTTCGAGGGTGATCAAGATGAGGTATAAGAGTGCAATAGCGATGAGAATCTGAATGGATCGTTGCTTGCTAAATGATATAAATGTGTCCAACTTTGCTATTCTTCCTCTCTTCATCGCTGATTTTGAAGATTAATGGTTGGTTTCAGGTTGGGGATGTTGTTGTTAGCATTTTCTGGGAAACGGAGAGAAAAATGGGAATGGGATTGATAAGAGTGGAATTGAAGTTGGGTACCCATGGAAATTGGAATGGAGCATTAAACTTGGCTACGTCGTTCATAGGTTTCGCTATGCATGATCACACAACACGAGTGTGTATGTCATGTGCTGTTGCTGATGAATCTAAATTTTACTATTTTTCTGCCACGTTCTGCCCTCACTTTCCATCAAGATCAAGGTTGAAAGGGTTTAATTCAAAGTGAGAAAATCACGATAAGAAGAGGGTTAATAATTATTTTATTTAATTCACATGTATGTAAATAATTGTTTATATATGTGAATTGTGATCCAGCATTTAGCATGATCACAATTGATGACATTTTGTCGTGTTTTTTTTTTATCTTGGTAACATTTTTTAAGAAACGTTTTAATTTATTTTTGAGCCATTAATAATATTATTTAAAATAGGATTTTAAAAGTAGAATATGCTTTATTTTGAGATTATAAAAGTTTCTGTACTTGTAAACATTTAAAATGATTTATATTTATCTTTCTCCAAAGTGTTAAATGAGAACTTAAACTTTACGATTTTTTTTCAACAACTTACTATTGTTAAATATAAAACATTGTCTTATTATGTTTTTTTTTTCTTTTAAACTTGTCTTATTATGTTTGATTTAATTCTTAGGAGTCGTCAATTGTAATTATTGATAATGAAACATGCCATCATAGTATCATACCTTATAGGTACTTATAATGAATTCTAATGCTAGTTTCTTAAGTTGTATGAATCATACATTTTAGTTTTTAAAAATCTAAAAAAAACTAATCTTACAAATTTAAATATTAAAATACATGACTCATGCAATTTAGAATACTAACTTTAGATTTTATTTTGAGTATTAGTGTGAATTTTTTTATTAATTATTGATTTCTTAATATATATTTAACAATTTAATCGATGATCAATGAATGATTATTAATTTATTTTAATAAAGATGCCTTCAAAAATTGTTAATAATAATAAAGTTGTATTAAAGTCATTGTAATGTTAGCTTGAAATGTTGTTGGAACATGTTCATAATTTACTTGGGCTCCTGAACGTCCAGCGTGGCAGCATTTTCCTCTTTGGCCCTCCTCAGCAAAGACAGAGACAGAGACAGAGAGACTATTATGAATGTATCGACCACATGTGTGTTGCTGTGACTACGAGATTATTAGAACACGATTACCATGAGAATATTTAATTTTCCCATAAAAGAAAACAAGACGCATGCAACCATACAAATGACAAATATCAATCAACAGAACTAAACGTCACCAGAAAAATCAAAAGAGATAAACCATATCTTAGCCTACCAAAGTTCAAAATTGAAAGTTTCAAACCATCGATCAATAATAGTATAATACTACTCCGATAATCTATTCTGCACCCTGACCCTGACCTAACCTAATAGCCTACTATTATTACTAAGAGTATACCCATTCTCATACGCAAGATCTTATACGTATCAGGTCAACGGTCAATAATTCCCCATCCCCACACTCCCCTTGGCGCGTGACAGGATCCAACAGCAATTTGGTAGCCACTAGATCCATCTCCCCACACAAGTCCCCATCCACTTCATACACCACAGTATGAATAAGCATAGATTTGTTCACTTTGCCCATAACCCATATCTTTTTTCCATAAACAAAAACAAAGCCAAACCCACAAAGAGAAAAAACCACTCTTCTACCTTGTAACACTATGGCACACCGTTCCTCTCAACGCCGAAACTTGAAAGCTTCACAATCCTTAACAACTTCTTCCCCTTCTCACCATCCAACACCAAACCCAGATCTCACACGACCCTATAAACCCTCTTTCTTGGTAAAACACTTGTCAAGCCTAAACTTGGCCCATAAACACACTCCTCTCGTTGACACGCGCTTGCAGACCAAAACCATGACAACCTCTGCCATTGTCGATACCTCAAAAACTTCATCACTTCTTAAACCTAATACCCATAACACCAGACTTGCTCCAGAGCCTGCACAGAAAACCCACAAGGAGAAGCCCCATAAGCCTTGTTTAGAGTTGGAAAGGAGGAAACTTCATGGCTTGATTAAGAAGGATCCCGGGTACGAGGTTGAGGATGTTAAAATTGAAAAATCAAGGAATTTTGTTGTGGAAAAATATGATGTTGTTGAGAGAGTTTCTGTTTCTCTGGCTCCAAGTGGGGGTAGAAGAAGATCCTTCTGTGGGTCACAGGTTGATTTAGGAGATGTCTTTGCAATCAATGGGGCAAAAATGGTTTCAGCTGATATGCCACCCTTTATGCAGATCCATGCTGTGGATTGTGCTAGAAAGGCTTTTGATAGCATGGAGAAGTTCACATCCAAGACCCTCGCACTCTCCCTCAAGAAGGTAATAATCATAACGTTAACTCATTCTAACATTCAATTATTATTTTTCCTTGTTACTTTAGGACTTAAGTTGTGATTGATTTCAAAATTTGTGTCTTTTGTGGTTGATTGGTCAACGGCGGTGGTTGCAATTTTGCAGGAATTTGATGGGGTGTATGGGCCGGCATGGCACTGTATTGTGGGGACTAGTTTTGGGTCTTTTGTGACCCATTCGGTTGGAGGGTTTCTATATTTCTCCATGGATCAAAAGTTATATATCCTCTTATTTAAGACCGCTGTACAAAAAGCGGGTTGAAGGAAGGAGGTGAGTGAATTCTGCAATGGTCAGAAGAATTTTGGTATAGATTTATCTTAGAAAGATAAAGCCTTAGAGTAGCAGCATCCTCTGTACATTACTTCTGCTTCAAAAAGGAATCACCCACTTTGTTTCCGTCCAATTCTACCTAAGTGGGTCTGGCCATGTTAATGCATTGTATTGTAACCAATGGAGTTAATAGAAGAAATTAAATTTTACATGCCAAGTGCCTCTTCTTGTTGTTTACCTACATGCATCTATCTTTTTTTACTGAAATCAAATTTGTTTGTATAATTATCAGAATTGTAATTTTAAACTATTTCTATACTTTTAATTTTAACTAATTGGTACAATGTATGCGGACATTTTATAACAAGTTTCTGCTTTAGGAGGTTATTTTAGTTGTGTTTTGGAGAGTAAGGTCTTCCTCATTGTTTTGATAAACTGATATGTTTTATAACACGTAATATTGTCTCATTTGTGTTACTATTTTTAGTTGCTTGGTTACACTTCTCGCTAGGGACAAGTTTAATCTTAGTTGCTACCTCAGTTATCAGCAATATCATGAGTACGAAAGTAATTATCACGCATTCAAATAAATACATACGTTTTAATAAAAAAAGAATGACTAAAATCAATTTTGATATCTATCCTAACCATGTTTAAAAATTAATTTTACTTAATTTTAAAAGTGATGCTTACCAAATGTGCTAGGGAAAGTTGAGTAGCTGGATATCTGATCTGAACAGGCACTTCGTTCGTAGTCATGAAAGGCACATAGAACGTGTAGTTAGTATTCTCACGTCGCTCTCGCTCACTCATTCTTGCCTGCAAAATTTGTGCAATTATTCAACTTTCAAATAGATTTGGGGTCCATTGCATTAAATTTTTGGTCTAAGTCCTCATTCTCGTTCTTGTCCATTTCTTCTTTCTCTTGTGTCGTGAGGAACTAGAAGTTCTTAATCCTTGGATTGATAATTTGAAATCTGCCTTTTATTGCATACGTTAACCAAAATTCATTCAAATAGCACAATTCTTCCATCGACCCCGAATAACCTGGAAATTGTTGGCAGCAGTGGAAAGGGGGGTTTGGTACTTGTTCAGTTCATATCCTCCAACTTTCAAAGATGCTGTGCGTCTATGACTATAAATATTATATAAAAAAGAAATTATAATTTCGATGGAACTATTAATTACGTGAATCATTAAAGAATCAGTGGGTGTTTGAATCTAAATTTAAATGGTCATTGATGTACAATTGTTATTTTTTATAAAGAGCCGTGATAGTTTGATTTCCTTTTTGCTTTTTTTTATCTAACTTCCGCATGTCATTAATTTGACCGGATAGATTCTGATTAAGTTTCATCTCACACTTGTAGATCAAAGGTAGTCTTTTATAGGCAAACCACAATTGTACTTGTATACAAAGAGTTGACATGATTTCGGCAAGAATTTGGATTATAAGGAAGCAGAGCGGTTATATTTGTACTTTGCAGCTTAGTGGACACACTGCCTTAATTTGTATGATAAAGTTTATTGAGATTTGAGAATGGCTAAAATCTAAAAAGGGTGACCCAGATCTCCTAAATGTTTGTGTTCCTTGTTACACTTTTGTGATGCCGTTTTGTTTATACGTGTGTCCAAACTCCAAAGGAACCCTACAAACCAAACTTTACTCCATGGCATGCCACTTCTCGAGGACACCCCATGACCCTACAAACCCGGCGGTCCATCCCAGTTCCCTTGTAGGCCTGTATTATAAACCAAAATGTTCACTTGCACACCCATTATCATAACTTTATAACATTGCTTCAACATGTGACCAAAAAGGATCATAAATCAAACTATCATTTTAAATCAGATAAGTTAAGTTTGATATTAATAACTCATATATATATACTTAATAAATTAAATTATAGTTTTTTAAATGAATATAATAAATAAACTTACAATTATTTATATATATATATATATGCACATGTAACATTTACTTCATTCTAATCTATAGGAAGTATTACTTAAATGAATGGTCATTGTTTTTTCTTCAAAAAGAAATATCATTTTACTATCATAAATTCCATTTTTAAAATTTAATCCATCCTCATCAATAAAATTATATTTTACTAACCTTTTATTTTATTTTGTTTTTAGCATGAAAATATCCATTAGGTATTAAATTAATTAAAAAATATTCAAAGAAAATTCAATAAAGAATAAAGAAATTATAATTTTGACTTTGTAATTTTTAACCAAGTTAAATTAAAACTTTAAATTTAATTTTTGAAAAATAAATAAGTTGAACTCAAAATCTCTTTTTTCTTACAAGATAAACCTAAAGTGTTTAATTCAACTCATCATTTACATCTTAAGTCAGGAATAGGGAAGGTACTTTTTTTTTAAGGGTTTCCCAAAATGGAAAGGCATTTCGTATTGGTTCAACAAAGACACTTTTTTTTGTCAGGAATCATAAATTAAAAGTCCAACGACACTTACAAAATAAAGAATGTTAAACCTAAAGCATTATAGCAGTACAAAATAGATAAATTGAATAAAAAAAATATGCACGAGAGTTTCAACACAGACACACACACAAGCTAAAAATAAAAAGGCACTTCAAGTTGGAAACATTTACATTGGGCTTCCGTCACAAAAGATGGTCTCGGTTTTACCTTTCCAAGTTTTTAGACAAAGAAATATTGTCTCTCTAATTTAGAGGGATGGGCTTTATTTTAGTTTCGGGCTCAACAGTAAAATCTCTCGTCCCTTATCGGCCTTAACACAATTTTTAGAAGATTAATATTATGAAATATTAAATATGTAAAATTGAAAACATTTTAGAATTTTTTATTGATAATAAAAATATAATTTTATAATATTAAAAATTAGTTTTATTAATAAAATAATATGTTAATGAGATACTTTATAAATATATCATTGTGATTAGCAATAACTTAGTAAGTTTAAAATTTGATTAAAACAAATGAAGAAAATATAAGTTATATTTTAAATGGATAATCAATTAAACAAATATTATTTTGATATAATATAAGAATCAAACGGCATGTGTGTTACAAATAAGAAAAAAAAATGTTTGCATGAGAAGGATAGTAGATGAAAATCTTATCCTGCTTTCAATAATTAGAACCTAATTTTATAACATACAATTAGACAATACATAATTTTTTACTCTCTAATTGGTATCTCCCTAATCATTATTTTGATTTTGTGTTCCATGGTTTGCAAAATTATTTTGAGGGAAGAGAATTTTTAAATGTGGCATTGTCATATTTGGTGTCTTAAAAAAAATTCATAAGCATTGTTGAGAAAACAGCAACCACATGTAAAACATCTCAACCAATAGAAAAGAGAAGTGCATTTGGTAGAAAGTATATTGTGTGTACAAAATATTATTATCCCTTTTTTAACCTTTGTGCCTAAAATGAAAGGGTGAACGTATTGCTTTTCCTTGAAAACAGTAGTAGCCATCGTATGACTCAAATATTGACTTTACTTCTAACGACCGCTTTTTTTTTTTTTTCCTCTTATTGTATGATATTAAAACGTTATTATTAATTTTGGTTTTATCAAATCTGTTATGTTAACTTTGAAGCTTAAAAGTGCATATTTTAATGATGGACATTATTCTTCTTCATATATTTTAAAATATATATAATGTTATATACAATAAGGTATTAAATAATTCCAAAATAAGATTTTTGTTTAAATATTATCTTTATGATAATTTTTAAAAAATAACAGGGTGTCTAATAACTTGGTTAAATTGCTGATACAAAGCTTGAGCTCTCAAATATTTGAAGCAGTATACCCTTTGAAATAAAGGGAGGGTAGCTGAGAAGTGTGTCGGAAGCAGTATATTAGCTTGAAGAAAATGGCTGTATAGGCATATTAAACTGTCCCGTTTAATTTGTCAAATATCCTGTTGGTTTTTACTGCATTTAGCATCATTTTGTACTCATTCTGCATGATTCACCCGCTGCTTTTAGTAATGTAAGAATATAGCTGTATCCATTGACATCAACATGACTCAGTATGTAAGAATAAGCTCAGTCTCGAGTTGACTCCCAGATCTAAAGCCTAATGTATAGACAAACAAGTTTCGTTGGCAAAGTTGTTTTTCATTTCAGTTTATATACATATTGAAATAATAACATAGTTTAATCTAAAAACCAATTAAAATTAATTATCAGTAAAGAAGGTTCGCATTTTAATGTAAATTTCCAAGCATTTGCGGTGGTTTATCAACCAGGACTTGGTATGAAGTGAAAGCGAAATGGAGACATTTTTTGTATAACAAGAAAGAAAGAAAAACAATGATCTACAAAGAAAGGGCGTGCGAAAGCCGGCGTTGTAGGCTTGTAGCTGCTGCTGTTATTGAATATCTACAGTTCATGCGGCGCACCCTACAACTCCCAACAATCTATTATGATGGATGTATCTATGAGGCACACACATTTATCAAAGAATAATTCTAAGTCTGTGTTTAAGTAAGGATTTGTAAATATAAGTTTGGAAGAATTTATTTTATTTAAAAATATGAACACAAATATGCATACTTATTATTTCATATTTACTTTGCGATTCTCCAAAACGCATCGAAACTTGAAAGTGGGGTATTCTGCTGAACATTCTCATTCGCAAGATATCTTATTTGGAGTTTGGCATGACACTATTAAATCCCTATCCTCATTTGGCAATCTTATCTTTGAGCAAGTTGTCCTTCTTTACAAAGACACAATAAGATTTTCGGTAAGGGCCACAAACTTAGACTCCAGTTCAGACTCACATTCCTCGTCGTGACCCGAGACATACACATACTTTTGATAGTTCATAAGTTGATATTGACTTAACGTTTTGCGATCATCATTCCCTGTTAATAGCCACCTATCAAGGACAACGGCTTTTCTTCTTACAATTTCGCAATCTCCTCCCCATTGATTGAATTTTGTCATCATCAGATTAATCAAATCCTTCTTTTGAAGACAACGACACCCAATTTGTTATAATAATAAATAGTATAAATTGATTAATGATTATGCAAGAGGTCATGGTTCTTCCACCCACACTACGTCCTTTTTTCAAGGAAAGTTTATGGAAAAGTACATGCCCAAGCCAAAAAGAATGGATCTTCCCAATACAAACATGGAATGGATTTATAAACTATTTTTGAAACTGTTGTCATTACAAATCTCACGTTTAGTGGAATAATATATTTGAATTTCAACGTGATATTAAGCGTATATTTGATTTCACGTTAAATGAACTAATAGATTATTTGTCTAAGCTCTCTTAGTATGCTGAACTTGTATCAGGGTGTTCGAAATTATTTACAATATAGTTTACCCATTGTAGATTCAAGAACAGTCATATTT